AAAAAAAAAAACAAAATAATCCATTTAGACACCTCGCCCCATAAAAGTCATGTCGCAAGGGTATGAACGATCCCCGAATACATAACCCAATCCTTACTTAACATCCCCGGCATTTAAATCTACTTGGAACATTTGGTCGTGCGGTGCATTAGTCCTGCTAGGCTGATCATCCCTCCATGCACCGCAGTCACAAATCCAACTTACAATCCGTAAATAGCTGTACCAACTGTTAACACGCCGGAGTAATGAATACGCGTCGAGAGGGGAAACTCGGATGTACAACAGCCATCGCCGGAGCTAGACCCACTGGATATTAAATTACTAAAAGGCATGACTGCACTCCGCGCAATGGACGCATAAACCTAATGCTCATTGATTCAAAAACCATAAATTCACGGCCGTAATGATTTTCAGAAAATGTTATTACTCGTTGAAATTTGCATTTCGATGTCTTTGATATCCAAATCACCGATTTTAACATCGGAATCACTTTATTATGATTATTTTCGGGGTGATGGGGCGGGGGTATTGATGACCAGTGTGATGATCCCCGGGGGATGAGTAAACATCTCGACACCCCGTTGTCAACCCCTTTTCAGTAGTTGCTCCTTTGCGTATGGACTTGATAATTATTGTCTCACTTGACGCGTGCACGCAATTGACATTGTAATTTTAATGGCTTGGGGTACATTTAGGTGGAGCTGATTTAATTAACCCCAGGGGCTCTGTTGTTCTGATTGTTCAAGGGTTTTTATTATCTGCCAGGCCCTTGGCCAGCTGATTCCACACGGAGAAAAAAGTTGGAGATAATTTAGGGGAGACCGGGGCAAAATGAGACCCCTGCAAAATTTGAGATTTTACACAAATGATTGATTTTTCTACAGTTGGTAATGAAATAAGAATATCCCATGGTTAGTAGATTTAAAGTAGTATAAACATAACGCGGATTTCAAATGTTGAGGGTAATCGGGCGAGCTGGGAGGGTCGGAAAAAAAGCAGCCATTTTTTTCTTTTTTTTACGTATTCTTTAAATGATGGAAAAGGCGTGTGCAAAGTTTCAGATGGCTGGGGAGCATGGTTAATTTATTATGAATTTTTGAAAAAGTGGTCATTTAACCCGTGATCTTATGGAAATCACAAAAAAAACTGCAAAACCCAAGGAAAAAATATAGCCAAAGTCATGAAACATTGTACACATTTAGAAAATGTGATCAATGATTTTTTGATAGAAAAAGATTGTCGCCTAGGAGCATTGTTTATTAATAATAGCGAAAAAAGTACTGAAAAATGAAAGTTTTGCGCACGCAGCCCAAATGAGCAGTAACGTCCCAAGTACCGATCGGGTGGGGGTAGCGCGGTCAATTTAAATCCCTCTTGAGAGAAAGAGATGAAGCGTTGTGATTGGAGCTCCCTCGAGTCAGTGGTACCATGCAGCTCCTGGTGAAGAAAAAAACTACCCACGATGTTGTCACTTTTTCGCATGGATTAATATTTTTTTCATTTATTAAAAAAAAAACAATCTGAAAACCATTCACTGCATGGAACAGATACAAATAAATTTGATTAGCTCCAAAAATAATTTTTAACCGGATTTTTAATACTCCCTAATATTGCCTGAATTTTGAATCCGAATGGGAAAAATTTTTTTGTTCAGCGATTGGTTTTCTGTAGGAAATAGAATAGAAATCTCTCCGCCTCATCTCCTACATTTCCTCCACGCCCGATTATTCTCAATAAGAATATGGAGCATGGGTCAGATTGTTTAACAATTACATTTTTTATTTATAAAAAATTGTTTAAAAAAAATTGTTTCGATGTCCCTTCGACAGAGTTTGAAGATCAAAGCGATAGTAATAATCGTTGTTTTGATTCATTGAATATTTTTTAGAAATATTTATTTCATTTCATATCATTTCTTTATTAAAAAAATGTTTTTTCGTTTCATTAAAAAAAAATTCAATCATAGCTCAAAATATTTGTTGTCACGTCATTCATCTCATGGTCATTACTTCATTTTATTTTATTATCTTAGAAGATTCGATTTTCATCGTGTTTAATGTGAAAATAAAGGAGCTTTTCGGTCGCAGAAAACTTTCGCTCGAAGAGAATTTCGAGATAAAAGGTATCCAAATGGTCGTTCACCGAAAAATTAAGCGACCACTCACCAGGCGATTCATTCTTGTCTAACAATGCCACTGGGGTAGTTTTGGCTTTTCGCCCTGCTTTATCTCCTCTTCGGTCACTAAATAAATCCCTCGGCCACTTTTCCACGGACAATCGCTACAGCTCCCCCCAAGGAGTACTATTTGCCATTGGGATGTACAAACATTTGACAAATGGTAACGGACTCCCTCGACAATTCCATCACTTCTCATAGTTTCCGAATTCACAGAAATTCCGCATCAACAATACAAAATTCAAAAAATGGCGAAAAAATGATTGTAAAAAAAATTATGAAATGTTCTCCTCGTGAATTGTAATTTCGACTCAGTGATAAATGGATTGAGTCGCCTGACGCAGCGATAAAAGAACAAATAAAGAACAAAACTGAAGACTGTGTCACGTCAAGGTCGGCTAACCGCCGACAAAGGCCTGCCATCGCCCCTGTCTGAAAAAAATTCTCTCCTCCAGGGGGCATAGATCAACGATGTTTTTAGCGCAACGAGTGGGGTTGGTGTTGCTCGCGTAAGTTTAATCCCGACGAGAGTTTAATTTTAATTAATCGCCCCAGCAGCGGCCCCTGCCTTTTTAGACTGAACATGGTTTATGGCACGAGTTTCAAGTCGAGAATGTCATCATCATTCGTCACGATCACGAGGTGTCAATACTTTTTTAAAATTTACTTCCATTAAATTCAGTTTGACAACAGAAATTATAATGTGATCGAATATTTACAGGAAAAACTTTTTCCGTACTGACCTTCACTTTTCCTCGTCCGAGAATTGGTATTGGCCCTTCCCCAAACTCGTAAAAGTGAAAATCACTACGGAAAAATATCGTTCACGACTAGTGCCATGGGGTTTTTTTACTCGCGTGGTTGGCCAGTCCTCGCCTTCGGCTCGGACGCCAATTCCCCGCGAGTAAGAAACCCCACGGCACTTGTCCTGAAATATACTATTCATTTCTCAATCGTGTCCTGAAAAGGAGAAAGAGAAAATCAGACAAAACCGAATAATTTCGAGGGAACAATTTTTTTTGGGAAAACAATATTGTTTCCTCGTTAATGTAGGATAAATAGGCTATTAGCTGGACGGTTAAGGAAATATTGAACTTCATTAAAGGATTTAAAATCGATGAAGTAGCTAAATGAATAAAAAATGAGTTCTAGACCTGCAAGAATGTATGAATTCGGAAAAAATAATTTGAAGAAAATGAAGAGAAAATGAAGAGAAGAATAATTTTGAAAATCCAAATCTGCAATAACTGAAGGCTGGGGCCAATAGATGGACGGTCAATGTCCAGTACATAGATAGTCTGACATAATAATAATTGAATGAAATTTTTGGTTTCCAATTCTGAATTTTTGTCATTTATTATATTTATTCTATCGCAAGACGAGGTCAGAAATCGAATTTATAGGTATTCTCTCATTATTCGGAAAGATATATCAATTTTAAAACTTTCCGTGGACATTGAAAAATTAATTTTTTTATTTCTTCCCGTCCATGTTATTTTGCACTTTTTTAATTTCTTCTCGTTAAAATGAGATCATAAAACTTGAAAATATTACTATATGTGGCGTTGTCAAAAGTAAGAGCAAGTGAAAAACTAAAAATATGTATTACTAAAGGAGGTAGAATAATAAATGGATATGATAATCGTTATATAGAGAATATAGCATATAAAGATATTCTAGCATAATGCCGTACTGACATTAAAAAAAAGTATATTGATTACTATACACAAAAAAAAACACTTTTTATTGATATTAAAAATAATTTCTTTTCTTTCAATGTTGTAACTGGCGAATTAAGGAAAAAATATAAGTGTAAGTGGGACAACATGAAGCAGTCGAAAAACGACCGTTTGACGCAATTCAAGCATAAAATTTTTTTATTCCATTTTTTAAAATCAACTTTTGTTTATTAACTCTTTTATTCTTGAGGGTACTGATGAGAATAATCATTTTCCATTCAGTAGAATGGAAAATTATCGAGAAGTTTTGACGGGAGAAAATTTTGTCAATGGATCAATTGAAAAGAAAATGAAACAGCAAAATTCAAAGTCCAGAGCAAGGCTCAGTGGGAGACCCAGAGGGGGGGAAAGGAGAATGTGATGCTGAATTTGCGGCCTAATCTAATCAATTGAATTATAATCCATTGAATTATCTATCCTAAAGGACAATAATAGCCTAAAGGACAATAATGATATCATCATACTGCCGGCGGACAAAGGCAATGCCACAGTGGTTATGGATAAGGACGACTACTCCGGCAAGCTCAGTGTAATGTTGGGTGACTCCAGAGTCCAGAGTTTACACTAAACTCAGGAAGGATCCGACACGTACAACTGAGGGTGATGGGAGGCAGAATTGAGATTCGGGCATTAATGTTTTTTTTTTGAAAAATAAAAAAAAATATCCGTTTTCTACATTTCGTTGACTTCTTGAGTTATGTAACTCCCCTTCGACTGTTTAGACAATTAAATTTGGTGGCCTCGGACAATTAGCTGCGACAATTATACCTTCGCAGTAAACATATTTTCCCGGAATGATAAGAAGCAGATACTATCGATACACGTGTCACGTAATGTTGAAATGCCCTTGAGAAAATGGAATCGGTTTTTCATCAATTTTGTCTCAATTTAAATTATTAGGGCATTGTTATTAGTGCATTCGTAGCAATAATAATTCCTTTCACTGAATTATCATAACAGTTCTCAAAACTTAATGATGAATCATGAATTATCAAAGTCCTGAAAAGGGAAAGGTATCCAATAAATTGGGTTAATCAAGTTAATTGTTGAGTCAATAATTTGATTCTGTAGCAGTAAAGACGAAGTCAGATTTTGAAGTGAGATTTATTTTGAAATAACTAGGAATCAACTGAATCGAAATAATAACATCGTAAGAAATTTTTCATCTGGAGAATAACCGCATCAAATTTGTTTCTGAAATCAATTTGAAGGTCTGAAGTCACTGCCAAAATACCGAGGGAGGTTTTATCTGTAAAATTGATGAGACAAAACATATATTAGTGGAGAACGTGATGGGCTGATTGAGCAACTGAAGACGACGCAAATATGTTTGGGTTAAAATACACGACTGTTACAATTTTTCCTTGAGTCAGGGTCAGGGATAGGCAACAATATTAAATTTCCACAATGTTAAAAAGGGATTATCTGCGTATATGGTTCAAAGTTTAACTATATTTAACAAATTAAAAATATTATAGAATTTATTAGCTAAATTTTTCGATTGATAGTGAATAAAATATTTGATAATACTGAAATGTAATTTTTTAGTTAACAAGCTAATTCTAAATTTAGGTACTTGATTTTCGATTATCCAAATAATCGTTAATCTTCCTACCTAAATTATTGGTTGATAGAATATTTCGAAATTGAAATGTACAAATTGATGGTTACTTTAATATTTAACATTTCAAGATTTATGGTAAAAATTGACAACTTCACAATTAAATGGTAATTATGATTGATTGATATTGATATTGATATAGCCTATCACTGGTCAGGGTGCACGGAGAGAAATTTGTTACAAAAATTCTAGTGCTAGCACGGGAAAAGAGGCGCAAAGTGACGGCCAGGAAAAAATTCCAGTGCCGGCACTAGCAATTTTATTGGGGAAAACGTGAATTTTTCCTCGTTTTTCTGTGAAAATTTCACCGAAATCCCCAGACATTTTACCAGAAATATCAAGAAAATTTACCTTAAGAGCACTAGAATTTTTCACAGCCGGTGGATTGTGATTTTTTCCAGAACTCGTACTAGAATTTTTCTACAAAATTTCTCTCTGTGTGGACTCAAGTCTCAATTTCACTCAGTTGAAATGAACTTGATCGAAAAATTAGAATGATTAGAAAAGGACATAGGGAAGAGTGGGGTAAAATGGTAGTAAACACGTTTGACTTTTTTTTTAATGTTAATGACAGGTTGAATTGTTGGTGAAATGTTTTTTTTTATTTTTCAATAAAAAGAACAATTCTTTCCCTTCGTGTTGAGCCTAAACTGATTTTAATTGATAAATCTGTCTCTGAGTTATAAATATTTCTTTAAATATCAAAAGTGGCCATTTTACCCCACCCTCCCCTAATTAAGTTATACATTACGAAAAAAAAAACTATGAATACAAGAAATATTATCAGACAATATCTTTTTCAAAGGAATATAAAAAAAAGATTGGCATACTCTAGGATCTGAAGGAAAGATTATTCCTGTTCCTAGGCTTAAGGACAGCCCTGGTAAAATAGAGTGCTGACAAAAAAGGTAACACCAATTTTTTTATACAGGATAGAGACACTCACGGATTTACTGATTTTTAGACGCAGCCAGGCCCAGGTGCGAGGCATTCTTCTTCTGCCAAAGCATATGAGACACATACGACGACCACCGCCATAACGAACAACAGGATTTTCCCCGGGTTCATGGTTGGGACTGCAAACTTTCTGCACTTGTAGATGTTTCTGATGAGTAGCGGGAACGTCGCACTTGAGCTTTCAGAATGCTTATGAATTCTGGTAATCCACCTCTGCCTGAAGAACCTATATAACACAGGTTCCATTCTTCGCATGTCATCGGTAATTACTGTAATTAATCTGCGCCTCTCTCGCGTCGGGTGATAGTCTTCGTGAGTTTTCATTGGACTGTAGTGCTAATTATAATATCTTCCGTGTAATTTCTGCGGCCTCGAAATATCCCCTTGTTTTCCAGTGCTTATCGCAAATACGGATAAGGATAAGACCTAGCAGAGACATGCATTCGTAAAGAAATTGCACAAAACAAAAGCAGGGGTTCGAGCCTATCCGACAGAAGGCATGTGACCGTTACTTTTTGCGTCATTACACGTATGAAAAAATTCAAGAGAAAACCTAGCGCATTCGCTAGAAAATTCTATTGAAATTCTATAGGAATTCTACACTGATAGACTGATTCATTTACTCCAAACGAGATTCGTTAATTATTAACGAATGCTAGAGTTGAATATGACCAAATGAATACTCGTTAACAGTTAACGAATGGTTCACTTAAAAAGTGGAAATCGAGTCAAACTTGAGGCTCCTCAAATATGCATTTGTTAACCATTAACGAATGAACATTTGGTGAGACGAAATAGACCCTCGGTTCCAACCGAATCGATTCATTATCAATAACTAATCCTTTCTATCAGTGTTCACGTTTCATAACATTCTAGACCATTTGCAATCAAAATTAGAAAATCGAAAAATCGGTCAAAAACAAGACTTCCACTCGGAAGCAAAAACAAGCTTTACTTTGACACCTATGATCTCAAATTCAGACTTTTGAATGTCAAACTGAAAAGTGGAAGGTATCGAATAAATTGGGTTAATCGAGCTAATTGTTGAGCCAATAATTTTATTCTGTAATAATAGAAACGACACGCACGAAAAAATTTAATAGAAAAACCTATCGAATTCGTTAGAAAATTCTATTGAATTTCTATTTAACTTTCTATTAGTTTTTGGCTGATTCTATCGACATGTTCAATAGAAAACATTCAATAGAAAAAGTCGACAGAATTCAATTTTTCTATATAACTTATTCTTTTCCTATATTTTCTATAGAATTTGCTCGATTCAAATTTTCTAAGTTTTTTCGTTTGATTTTCTTGATGAGAAAAAAAGAAAAATAGAAAAGGAGGAAATTCTATAGAAAATATCTCAATAGAATAAGTTATATAGAAAAATTGAATTCGATAGGTTTTTTTATTAAATTTTTTCTTCCGTGGAAGTAAGATTTTAAAGTGAGATTTACATACACGGAGAGAAATCTTCAGTAAAAATTACGGAACTCACAATTCACTCACCGATTACGGAATCGACTCAGACAATTTAAGTGACGGTATCGTAATTTTTCACAGGAGATTCGGATAAAAATTACGGATCGCTCCGAAAAAATTCCGTGACAGTTCCGTAAAATTTCCTACAACCACATTTCGCTCCGGAATTACGGAAAAGATACGTAATTTTTATTGAATATTTCTCTCTGTGTAGAAATAACTAGGAACCAACTGAATCGAAATAATAACATTGTAAGAAATTTCTCATCTTGAGAATAACCGAATCACAAATTTTTCTGAAATCAATTTGAAGGTCTGAAGTTATTGCCAAAATACCGTTACGGGCTCCACCTGCACGGAGAGAAATTTTTTAGAAAAATTCTAGTGCTAGCACGGGAAAAGAGGCGCAAAGTGACGGCCAGGAAAAAATTCCAGTGCCGGCACTAGAAATTTTATTGGGGAAAACGTGAATTTTTCCCAGTATTTCTGTGAAAATTTCACAGAAGTCCCCAGAAATTTTACCAGAAATACCAAGAAATTTTACCTTAACAGCACTAGAATTTTTCACAAACGGTGGATTGTGATTTTTTCCAGTACTCGTACTAGAATTTTTCTTGAAAATTTCTCTCCGTGTGCAGAATTGATGAGAAAATAGTACATTAGAGTACAAGGGCACAAATTTCGTTTTCAACGAATGTGTAGTTTACAGGCCGAGCCGAAGGCGAGGTCTATACACTCAAATTTATTACCGAGTGCTTTATAATATTTTATGTCAAGTCGTGCAGAAGTCGAGGTTTGAGCAGGCTGCGCGAAGCGCAGCGTGCGATACACTCGACTTATTTCACGGCGCGACATAAAGTATATATTAGTGAGGAATATGATGGGCTGAATGAATGACTGAAGATGATGCAAGTATGCTTGGGTTAAGCCATTCACTCAAGTTTTAAAAATTTGACTCATAGAGTTACTCACAGAATTGCTCATTTTTAAATGCACAAAGGAGCAGCTGTAGGGCATTTGTTTGCTGTCGCTACCAAAGCATATAAGACACATCCGACGACAATCGCCATTACGAGACACGCGGTGTTCGCTGGGTTCATTGTTCATTGCAAAATTTCCGTACTCGTGGGATTTCGTCTATGAGTGAAGCGAACGTCGCACTTGAGTTTCCGGAATGCTTGTGAATCCCGATATTCCACTTCCGCCTGGAGAAGCTAACATTCGTTACCAGTGAATACATGCATAACTTCCGTTCTTTGCGTGATTTTAGTTATCTGTACTCACATTAGACCGTTGCAACAACTTTCATATCTTTCATTTGGTGAATTCTCACATTGAGAGAAAAAATTAGCTCTGCCGAAAACTATATGTTCCACGTAAGAATATTTGATTGAGTGGATGAGATTTGCTCGAGGGAAATTAAGCAACTTGATAGATGAAAATTTAATATCCTTCACAGAAATCAAATTTTGATCGAGATCATCAGAAATATCCCTAAAAGAATTAGATTTGATTAGATTAGACGCAATTTATTATTTCCCTGAGATAAAATCTCCTAAGGGAAAACTTAATACAAGAGATTGATTCATCCAATTTTGTCGTCAATTCAGTAGCGAAGTGGTAAAGCGGTTTAAGTCGACTTATCTCCCATTTGAGTTTTTGAGGAATATTTCCGAATCTAAGGGAGATAGCGAAATTTCCATAATTACATTTGTTGTAGCTCTCAATCGGCTCTACAAAAAAGGTTGTAACAAAAATTTTACTATCTCCCTTAGATTCCGAGATATTCATTGAAAACTAATCAATAGTCAAAATTGACTTGTACCGTTTTACCACTTCGCTACTGAATTATTTTTCTAAATACTAGTCTCTCGGTTGACTAGGGTATTTCCACATAACAACATGACATAACACGTCATTTCGAGCACGCAGAATATTAACATGAATTATTTATTACAAATTTTGACACTAACGATAATTTTTATATTGGACAATTATTATTTAGTTTTCTTTCTGATTTTTTGACACTTTTTCTACACTGCAAAAACGAATGTCTGAATTTCACACACCTTTTGTACGTATTTTTCAAACAGTAAAAAACGTTTGAATAAAACGAAAATTCGTCTGAATTTCAAACGTTTTAATTCATGTTCGAAATTCAGACAAATTTTCATTTTATTCAGACATTTTTTAGTGTCTGAAAAATGTCTACAACAGGTGTCTGAAATTCAGACATTCATTTTTCCTGCGTAGATTTCAATCTTCTCCATAATCTCAAAAGTTCATTTCCTTATAAAACTCTGCGTTATTTTCGCACTATATTATATTAGCTTTCAGTAAGAGTTTCACATGTTAACAAATTTCACATATTAATCATTAAAATTAAAGTTATGTTTATAACTTTATAATGTTATGTTTAAACTACATTTTTTACTGTATCTCATCTCTTATTGCATCATCAAATTTTTAGGGGAGAATAAATGTAGAATAAAAAATGTCAAGCATCAGAAATATCAACTAGAATAGTCATCGGAATTATTTCAATAATCCTAGTGAATGCAGCGCCGAATGGCGTCATTCCCAATGGCAATAAAACACTTTACAACTTTCAAATAAAATAAAAAAATTAAAAATAGAAGACCAGTAAAATAGGAAGAAAAAACAGTTGAAATGTTTTTCTGCAGTGGCATTGTCGTGATCAATATAGAATTGAGAACGACTATTGGAGGATGGAGTTGGCCAATGGCGTTGGGTGCACACAATCCTCAGTCTGATAAGCGGAAATTCCCTCGCTGATTCTGCGCTCGGGAGTGCAGACATTTCATTGGTTGTCACCTCAGCGAGAGGGGGGTGGACCTCTATTACCCTCTCGTGTGGGTGGGAAACCGCGATGGCCGGCCCTCTCCCAAATATCAAATGAAAGTAGTTGAAAAAATTGTGGAGATAAAAAATTGCGCGGGGAAATTTGTTTCATTGTTATAGACATGGAGATGGGAGATTGCGTGGATGTTTCGGGGAAATTTATTGCGAGTGTAAATGACGGCGGGGGGAACGGGTTTTATTTTTGGGTGAATTCGAGGGAATGTACAATTTTCCTTCTCATCTGAAAATTATTCGGGTTGAGAGAGTGTAATTCATCGAATATTTTTAGAGAAACCCTTTTTGGAATTATTTCACGTTATTTTATCAGGAACATATTCATTATTAATTATCAATCAAATTAAAAATTAGAAAAATAAAAGGATAAAACAAACACGTGGGAAATTGCTCGTGGATTGCATATAGTATAGTTATTTTTGCTAATAAATTAGCAATGTGCTTCCGAGTGGTTATTTTGCACATCATTTCCTCCTATCATGATATAATTCATTGTTCATTTTATTTTATTAAATTGAATAAAATTTCTTTTAAACTAATTTTATCAGATTTTCAACTTAGTCGAATGTTATCATCATCATTATTCTTATTATTCCCTTCTTCTATACAACCAATTATCTTTTTACAGTTCTATCTCTCCCCTCAGCCCTTCGATAAAATGTTAATAGAAAATTTTTATTTATACATACTTGAATGAATTTGAAACATCACATTTGAAGAAACCATTAGAAAGCTCACTTTCAGGGAAATTCATGCAAAATTCTAAATTTTCAACAATCATCATAAAAATCAAATCAACCAATATAGTTATCGTAATCATTTTTTAACTTCGACTTAATGGCATTAGAACAAACATTTTAAGCTATGATTGAATTGATTTGAAGCATGATATTCAAAGATATCCCCGGAGTTCGATTTTCAGAAAATTCAAAATTTTTTCAAATTTTCAAATAAATCAAAATAACGATTATTGCTATCGGTTTCATCTTCGAACTCGTTCAAAAGGACATCCAAACAATTTCTTTAAGCCGTCATTGAATCAATTCAGAACATTTTTTTCAGTTATCGTTAGACAATCCATTTTCGAAAAATATCCAAATTTAAAAAAACTAATCCCGTAGCGAAGCGCTAAACCGGGTCAGGACGATTTTGAATTTTGGTCCGTTTTTGATGAAAATATCGAAACCTGAGAGAGATAGCAACATTTTTCTCATGACCTTTTTTATAACCCTCAATTGGCTCTACAAAAAATGTCATGACAAACATTTTTCTATCTTTTTTAGATTCGAGATATTCGTCAAAAACTGAGCAATAGTCAAAATCTGCTTGACCCAGTGTACCGCTTCGCTACTGAATCGTTGAACGAAATTTTAATTAATAGCGATTGAAGATAAAAAAGATTCAATTCCATCCATTCATTAGCGAACAATTGAAGAAAAACTTTGTTACATACGTAAAAATTGCATTTTTGGCCTTTCGGATCACACTGGGTTGATATAACACAAAAAATCCAAAACGTAAATTTGAACTATTACGAGGCTTCCATTCGGAAGTAAAAACTGTATGTCTAGACTCAGCATTTTTATTTTTGTGATGATAAATCTTCACTTGAAGATTCATGTTCACCCGTAGTAGGGACACAACTCGAATTAGCATTGGCCCATTAGCCCAAAAGTGATTCCACCCAATTCATCCTTGATTGGGGATGAGACAGTGTGGAGAGCTGAAACTCGTACAGCGTTACGCATCCATGCCCCCTCATAAATCTCAATTTCGACCCACCCCTCTGCCCCATCACACAAAATACTCGCCTTAATTTATACGATCACTGGATGCAGCTTTATCTTCTCTCCAATGCTCTTCTATTATTCTTGGCTCTTTCCTCTATTAGGAGCCCAACCATCTCAGTGAGTCGTTATATCTCAATAAATAAAATATTGGTATAAAAAAAGAAAAGTCATGAAGATAGAATTAGTCTACGAAATGTAAACGAATAAAAACTTACTCTCGAGAATTTTGTGAAAAATTTTGGGGTCAAATTAACAGTTGTGCTCACGACTTTTTTTATCATACTTTATTACATTACATTATCGTATACATTTACAATCTTTAATAAACTCTTACAAATGCAATGATATTTGTTATGCAGTATGGAATATTCGTTACAATTCTCATAAATTCCAATTTCACATTCACAACGATTTAAACACTCACGTACAAACATGAATGAAAAATTCGAAACGATAAATAAGCAAAAGATAATTCATCCGATGGTAATTACAACAGAAGAGTATTAGGTCTCTTTACAAACATGTCCAGATCTTCCCCAAAAAAATAAAAAAAATCCAAATGTGCGCATTCAAACACTGCCTTCGCGTGAAAAAATTCGAAAAACAAACAAGAATAACACTACACTTTGTTGAGGGCATGATTCTCCTCATCATTAATCCATTATTATCAATTGATTGGCCAAGTTTTTTTCTCATGAAATATCAACTACACATGTCAAATTATTCGTTTACCCCAAAACCCCGTATTATATGAAACTCGATTTTTGTGAAGAATTCGGGGGTCAAATTAACAATTGTGTTCACGAATTTTTTGATCGTACTTTATTTCCTTATCTTATACATTTACAATCTTTAATAAACTCTTACAAATGCAATGACATTTGTTATGCCGTATGGAATATTCGTTACAATTCTCATAAATTGCAATTTCACATTCACAACGATTTAAACACTCACGTACAATCACGAATGAAAAATTCTAAACGATAAACACGGAAAAGATAATTCATCCGATGGTAATTACAACAGAAGAGTATTAGGTCTCTTTACAAAAATGTCCAGATCTTCCCCAAAAACAGAAAAAAATCCAAATGTGCGCATTCAAACACTGCCTTCTCATGAAAAAATTCGAAAAAAACAAGAATAACATTTTGTTAAGGGCATGATTCTACTTACAAATAATCCATTATTATCGATTGAGTAGCCAAGTTTTTTCTATCAAATATCAACGATCCATGTAAAATTGTTTATTCGCCAAAAAAAAAAAATGATTGTTTTGTGAAAATGTCTTAATAATATAAAAAAGAACTTCGACAACATTGATTTTCCATTTTTATTCAACAAAACATGATTCTCTCACAAAAAGATGAATTCATTCACGAGGAAAAAATCCTCAAATTGTCTTTTTTATATTTCTCATTTTTACAAAATTCTCACAACTACGATAATTACAAAAAAAATAGTGTAGAAAATGCGAGGGAGTAAAGGACGAAACCTATTCTGAAAATATTAAACATCAATTGTGTGGGAAGTTGACGAAAATCAATGAGCCCAAAAATATCAGGTGTCAAATTTTTCGATTATCTCCCAAATAATTACATTTACAAAAAAAAAATCGAGTAAAGTAACTGACAAAAAAAACCTTTTGGACTCATCAGTTTTCATCATTGAACCACTCAACTCTTTCCCATTTGAATTCATTTGGATAAAATTCGAACATTAAATAAGTCCCTGCGACCACAATTTCATTTTTTACCCCACGAAATGAACATGTGGTTCAGTAGTCAAATTTCATTCCAGCTAACTTTCCCATCGATCTGTTTTTGCTAGATATGTGGAAATCTGAAGGAGATACGAAAATTCTTTAATTGTAATTCTTTTTTATAACTCTTGAAATTTCCCAAAAAAATTTATTCTCACAATTTTTCCAAAATTCCCTACCTCCCCTAGACACCCCCAAGATCCAAAGCAGAAACTAAACCCTAATTTTGTTTCAACAAAACAGCTCAATTTCATTTCTCAAAAATATTATTAAATATTTTAGAATCGAAAGGAGATAGAAAAAAGTCCTCTACCTTTCTTCCAGCTCTTGAAATTCCCCCGTAAAACATCTCTCCATCCCCTAGATTCCAAAATATCTCCAAAATCTGCATTCCCCTTCTCCAACCAATTTCGCCTGAACATCTCCACCTCCACCAGCTACAAAAAAAATTCCTCATCCCCTTTTTTCAAGCTCTGTAAATCCCCCAAAATTCCGTACCTCCCCCAGACATCCCCAAGATCCAAAAAAAGAGACTCCCCTCAAAACCTCTCCGAAATTCCATAGTACCACATCCCCACAGTTCATTTCCCTCTCCCCTAATAAAACTTCTTGGCTTGTGCCTCCTTATTATCCTTATAGATGCTGTACCCCAGCAGAATAACCATCTGAATGACCAAGAACGCCAAGAACATGGTAGTAGACAGACAATTGGCATTGGGACATCCCCCAGGAGCTGTCCCCGTGACTTTGGCGTACGTCTGCGTGACGTCCCTCTTGATCTGATTGAGTCCATCCCTCATCTCTGAGACCAGCGACTGATAGTCGTAGCCAATGGGCTGAACCTGAGCCGTTGGTTGTCTCGCCTGATTAGTGAGAATGGACTCTGCCTTGGAGTTGACTTCCCCGACGAAGGATTTGATCTCCCGAGCTGTGTTCATAATGATATTCTGATTGCTGAGGACTGCGTCCACCTCCTGACGACGAATTGTGTCGATGAGCTGGGGAGGAGCACCTGGTTGAGCCCCTGGCACCTGGACACCTCCCAGTTGAACCTGAGAGATGAGGGAGAGCGTGCGCTCCTGGCGACCCACCACTTCATCGAGCTTCCTGTTCAGCTCTCGAAGGATCTCGAACATCTGGGACTGACCTCCAAAGATCTGGCGGAGCTCTCGCTGATTGTCGGTCTCGAACCAGTCGTCCAGGTCCAGTTTGTGGTCGTCTGGGTGCTCTCTGCGGGGGAGAATTTTACAGGTGAAATTTTGAGGGCTGAATGATGGGGGATTTGATATTTATGAAAGTCAAGCGTCATATGTCGCAGTCGGCCCTTGCGTTTAAATATAAATAATTAAAATAAATAAAACCATTTTATATTTAACTCGTGATATTCGACTATTGACATTTTCCAATTTTTCCCCGGATTCCTCGAGACAGAAATTATCAATTTTTTTTTTCTACGAATAATTGATTCATTAATATTAATCAATTGTCAAATAAATTAATTCTTTATACTTTTGCTTTCGAATGGAAGCATTGTATTCGTCAAATCTGAAATTTCAATTTTTTTGGGTGACGATGACTAATTTGGGTTTCGGGAGTTTGAATATGCTGTATTTAGATGATATCCGGAAACCGACTGTAATGGTTAGGTGGGTGAGGTGTTGCTCCGGCGGACATGCAAACTAAGCAGCGTTGAGCTGGGTTAGTACTTGGATGGGTGACCGTTTAGGAACACCTCGCTTGCACAAAAATTACGGGCGGCAGGCACGGTGTAGCGGCCGAGTGTAGTGTCCTCCATCTAGTCAGTGTGACAGATCGATACATTAGGGCACTGCACAATCGGCCGGCTGTGCGACTAGGGTTTTACATGGTTTCCCGTGCAGTCCTAGCTCGAATGGGGCACAGCTAAGAGTAAGACGGCCATGATACCGCAAATAACAATGAGAGGAAAAGTAAAGGAGGGGAGGCAGGCTAGAGGAGGGGTTTCAAATCAAGAACTACTTCGATAAAACCAATGAAATAGAAAAATAAAAAAAAATAAAAAAAATAAATAGATCATATCCGTATGTATGTGAACTTTCTTTTCGAATTTAGTTTTTCAACGACCATTCAAGAAATATCGTCGAAATCTTTTCAATTATGGCTTAAAATATTCATCTGGATGTTATCTCGGTGGAGTTCGAAGATAGTGGCGATCGCATCGTTTGCTTTGAAATTATGGTCCTAAAAGGCATTTAATCGAGATTTAATCATGGTTTAGTCGGCGTTTAGTCGGAGTTTAGCCAGGGTTTAGTGGGAGTTTAGTCGGAAGTTAATCAGGGTTTAACCAAGGTTTTATTATGGTGTAATCAATGTTCAGGGAGAGTTTAAACCGGTTTCATTTTAGTTTATGTCGGTGTTTGTTAGATGGTTAATCAGGGCATATGGAGCTCACGTTAGACATTTGGGACATTTAAGGATTATATTAAGGTTTCATGGCTAGTGTATCTTCTTCCCCAATTTACCATTCCGGAGCAAATTGCTAATTCATTAGCAAAAAAATTATACTGATCTTAACTCCAGTTTAAGGAAAACTATTCAGGAGAAAAACAAAATTTAAATAATTGACTTACGACCGAGGAGACATCAACATTGATGTATCAGGACTATGAAATATTGTCATATGAAGTTTTACATTCATTTTGTTTTCACTCAATTTGTCTAATTTAAAATGAATTCGTTCACTAAAAAATTTTATCTCAAATTGTCTTAAAAAAAATTATTGAATTTTCCTGAGGTTAAACTTCCGGAAGGATTCCTACTAATCTGAAATTAATAACAGAAAACCGAATATGCACTTTTTTAAAAATTCGATTGATCCATTCGGAAGCAAATTGCTAATTTTTTAGTAAAAACACTAACTTGATTTAGACCTCTGCAATGGGCCACTTGTTTTGTATTCTTTCAGAATGCAGCAGGTGAAATTTTGAGGGTTGAATGTCGTTCGATATTTATGGAAGTGAGATATCATTAATCACACTTGGCCCTTGTGTTTAAACATAAATAATTTAAATGAATAATAATTCAATAAAACCCTTTTAGATTTGACTCATGACGTTTTCCAATTTTTCTCTTAATTCCTCAAGACAGGAACAATAATTTTTTTGTTCGATTATTTATCAATCAATCAATTATCAAATAAATTAATTCTTTCCATCAATGATTTCCGCCCTTATCAAAGTAAGATAATTGAAATTGAAATTCCTATCCAGTCAACCGAGAGTGATTTATCGACAAGTGATAAGAAAGATTGACCCATCAAACGATAAAAACCCACTTTTTGTACTCCTTCTTCTGCTGCTCCAGTTTCTCCTGGTACTCCTGATACTCTTTACTGAGTTTTGCCTCTTCCTCGGTGGAGACTTGACGGCCACCTGTCGCCATCTCCCCGGGTGGATGCAACGACGTCGTAAGGAACTGAAGGACATCGTGATCATCAGCTAGACCTCCAGTAGCTGCTGACACACCGAAGTACCCACGCTTGGGCAGGTGGACGTTGTCAGCACGCAAACACATCTCGTAGTCGTCGTTGTTGTTCGTCATTCCATTGTGGAACAAAACCTGAAATGAAATGTCAATTAATTACAAAATAAAACAAAATTAATTAGGAAAACACAAAAATTCAAAAGTTACAAAATGCAATTTGAAGTTTTTTGCGGATATCTTTGGAAAAAAGAATTTTTGCGGAAAATGTCGGAAGAAATTTTTTGTAGAGAATTTTATGTACTACAAAAAGTGTTTTATGGTATTTTTTGATAAACTGCATCATTTAGGAGATATTCATAAAAAGTGCGGAGAGCTTTTCAGCATTTTTCTAATTAAAATTAGTAATTCAGTTAATAAGAGTAAATTATTGAGTAAAAAAGGGACAAAAGTGTTTTTGCGTTTTTTTTGGAGGAAATAAGACTGCATTGTGTTTCAAATGTCAACAATTTTCATGCAATATGTTGAAGGGACAATCTAAAATAGTAGAATTTTTTAAATTTGGGGTTTTTCCTTTGGACTTACTGTTAACGTATTTTTATAGTATTCAATCCTAGCTCTCGTGGGGAATGGCTTATTACGGAAGTCTCGTAGACATCCAGAGAGCAATTGTGTACTTCCATCGCTGAAATATAAATATAAAAAATTAAAATAATTCAGGGATTGCAACCTTTTAATTGAGTAAATAAAAAATATTTGTAGAAAGAAAAAAAAATCTACATCAAGTCCAATTTATGAACGCTCCATTTAATTAATCGTGGATAATATAAACCCATTTCGCCATTTCACTCCGTCAAATCAGTTTTAAATGATAATAGTATTGATGAAAAATCATCGACACCTGAAATCCTTATCTTATCACTAAAATATTCCTTAAAATCTACTTAACGTGAAGAAAGTTAAAAATTTCATGAATAATTCATCAAAGACTTTAAAAAAATGAGCATGTCTCACTGGTAATTATGTATTTACCTTAAAAATCAGTGGATTTATGAAAAAATGTCGAAAGACTTCTGACATTTTTTAAATTATTTCGAATAATTCAATGGACTTTCCACTTTCCATTTACAATAAATTCTAGGTGTTGATAAAATCGATGACAATTGATGATAAACATCTGACATGAATTCATCATAGTCATCAAAAATGAGCGTCTCATGGACAATGAATTACATGAATGAAAATACTCTGAGAAAAAACTGAAAAATAAAAGAAAAATCGTAACTCACTTAGTATGATCGAAAATCATTTCCCCATTATTCAACACAGCCATGATATACGGATTATTGTGCTTATTATCATTATCGAAGGAATCGAAGAAGAGCCCCAGTCCGTTCCACATGTCTGAAGAACCGAAGACAGTGCCATTGTAGTGTCCCTTATCAGCTGTGTACCAGAATGCAAGACCATCAGCACCAATTCTTCCTCTACCCGTTACCCGAAACACTAGGTCTACCACCCACCAGTCGAAGTCGGTCGTCTTCTTCGTCCATATTGCACCTGAGGACATGAATAGTCATAAAAAAATGTCAATTATTCTGCGAGAGGAGCAATTTCTTCGGACTGAAAGGCCTTGACGTGTTTTTTGCCGAGCGAGCAAAATATTCTTTCGTGGAACCAAGGCCGAAATGAATGGGGATTAGAATGATTTTTTTTCAGACTTTATAAAGCGGGGAATTTTTTTTTTTTACTGGAGAACATTGATTTTTGGTTAAAAACACTTTGATGTTTTCCAACTATCTCTAAATCTAAAGGAGATATCAAAATACTCTAGAGGACATTTTTGTAGCCCTCACTCCCCTCTATAAAAAACGTCCTTATGAAAAATCCTCTATCTTTCTCCACTCCAAAGATATTAACCAAAAAAACATTTTAACAACTGATGAAATTCGAAGAAACAGCTTCACTTCAAGATCAGTCTTCCCCAAATATCTCTAAACCTAAAAAATATCAAAATTCTCTAGTAGACTTTTTTGTTGCCCTTCCTCCCCTCCACAAAAAAGGTCCTTATGAAAAATCCTCTATTTCCCCCCACTCCAGAGATATTGACCAAAAGAACATTTTAAAATCTGAGGAAATTCAAAGAAACAGCTCCACTTCAAGATCAATCTTCCCCAAATATCTCTAAACCTAAAAAAGATATCAAAATTCTCTAGAGGACTTTTTTGTTGCCCTTCCTCCCTTCCACAAAAAAGGTCCTTATGAAAAATCCTCTATTTCCCCCAATTCCAGAGATATTAACCAAAAAAACATTTTAAAAACTGATGAAATTCGGAGAAACAGGTGAACTTCAAGATCAGTCTTCCCCAAATATCTCTAAACCTAAAAAATATCAAAATTCTCTAGTAGACTTTTTTGTTGCCCTTCCTCCCCTCCACAAAAAAGGTCCTTATGAAAAATCCTCTATTTCCCCCCACTCCAGAGATATTAACCAAAAAAACATTCGAAAATCCTTCTCCCCCAAAAAAATCAACTCCCCTTTCACATCAGTCTCCTCGAAATCCCTCCCACCGCAAACAACCCCTCAAAATTCCCTAAAATCCCATCCTTGCCGCCCTCACCCTTAAAAACCCCCACCCCCAAACCCAAAAAAATAAGTGTACATACCTTTCTGACTCCTCAACGACGGTGCAACCCTGACGTTCTCCGAGCTGGCAATAGCATCTGCAACCAAAGAAACCATCAGTCACCCTCCAACTCCGAACCCCCAAAAACCACTGGCTCCTCCGACGCGTCTGTCAAAAAGCCGGAACCATACGGTGTCCAAAATTTCGCTATTTCCCCCCTCTCCCCATCCGCCCGCACCGGCCAACCCCCCCAAAACATCCAAAAAATCGTCTCCATCGGGTTCTCAAAAAGAATCAATCAAATTGTCGAAAAAAAACAACCGTCTGGAGACGTGGAGCTATTGGTTATACCGATCTAACCAAAAACATGACGACTTACTTCCTCCATACTCCCAGAAAGGTACACTTCCGTCCTTCTGGGCGAGATAGGGCGGCTTAAACGAATATTTGTACTCAAATTTTTTATGCACATCTTCGGCATTTGCCAACAAAAACAACGATAAACCGATAAATAACACCAGCCACCTCACTTCGGCGGCCATTTTCATTTTTGTACGACTTGTTGGTGGCGAGTGACAAGAGCGCATGTGCGCTCTACCCGCTATTGGACGTGATACTGGGTGAGTGTGTGGTGAACACACTTGATTCGCTCGGACTCAACATCTGACGTGTCGCACCTGGGCTGCCATCTTTGATTTTACGTCACGGGTTTTTAAATCGGATACACCTGTTCGCGAGTGACTCGTGGATTTTATTCACCTGCAAAAACGGGGAGTTGATTTTTATTATTATTTTTTTAAGAACAATTTGGCTTCCGGGTTTTTGGGTCTTTTGGGTCTTCCGCGTTTTTGGGGATGCGACGGGGCCTTTCAGGGAGTTGGATAATTTTTTAAATCATTTCAGTCCACGTGGAATCTGGCGACACTAGCGCTGCGCTGCCGTCAGGACCGTAGCAAATCGGCGTCGAGTACATGATTTAGAAATTAATCTACGAGAACGGCCATGTTTTTGGTTGGATTCTTAGCGAAGGGAAAAATGGGTACTTTTTATTTTGAAAATGTCGAAGATTATTCGTATAACAAGCAACGGGCCCAAGGACATGAAATATTGTACGTCACAGGGCGATAAAACAATTTTCGGATTTATGTGATTAAAATCCTCGCCTTTGGCTTGGATTATTCGTTAGAAAATACTTTCATCGCCTGGTGATATAATGTACTATTACATCACGTGATACGATTTACGGTATTTTAAGAAACTCAAAAACATGCGCCTCATACCCCATAACGAGTAAATTTCACGAGGATCGAACGTTGCAAAAGACCAAAGTCACAAGTCATTTCCATTGTGAGAAAGTCAATCTCATCGTTTATTGAGCTTTTTGGATTCTCCACTTTATTATTAGGAGCCCCGGAAAAGCCCAGCTGGACCCGAAAAGAACTAATTTCTGCGACGGTTTTGANTTCCCCAAATATCTCTAAACCTAAAAAAGATATCAAAATTCTCTAGAGGACTTTTTTGTTGCCCTTCCTCCCTNCGAAATCCCTCCCACCGCAAACAACCCCTCAAAATTCCCTAAAATCCCATCCTTGCCGCCCTCACCCTTAAAAACCCCCACCCCCAAACCCAAAAAAATAAGTGTACATACCTTTCTGACTCCTCAACGACGGTGCAACCCTGACGTTCTCCGAGCTGGCAATAGCATCTGCAACCAAAGAAACCATCAGTCACCCTCCAACTCCGAACCCCCAAAAACCACTGGCTCCTCCGACGCGTCTGTCAAAAAGCCGGAACCATACGGTGTCCAAAATTTCGCTATTTCCCCCCTCTCCCCATCCGCCCGCACCGGCCAACCCCCCCAAAACATCCAAAAAATCGTCTCCATCGGGTTCTCAAAAAGAATCAATCAAATTGTCGAAAAAAAAACAACCGTCTGGAGACGTGGAGCTATTGGTTATACCGATCTAACCAAAAACATGACGACTTACTTCCTCCATACTCCCAGAAAGGTACACTTCCGTCCTTCTGGGCGAGATAGGGCGGCTTAAACGAATATTTGTACTCAAATTTTTTATGCACATCTTCGGCATTTGCCAACAAAAACAACGATAAACCGATAAATAACACCAGCCACCTCACTTCGGCGGCCATTTTCATTTTTGTACGACTTGTTGGTGGCGAGTGACAAGAGCGCATGTGCGCTCTACCCGCTATTGGACGTGATACTGGGTGAGTGTGTGGTGAACACACTTGATTCGCTCGGACTCAACATCTGACGTGTCGCACCTGGGCTGCCATCTTTGATTTTACGTCACGGGTTTTTAAATCGGATACACCTGTTCGCGAGTGACTCGTGGATTTTATTCACCTGCAAAAACGGGGAGTTGATTTTTATTATTATTTTTTTAAGAACAATTTGGCTTCCGGGTTTTTGGGTCTTTTGGGTCTTCCGCGTTTTTGGGGATGCGACGGGGCCTTTCAGGGAGTTGGATAATTTTTTAAATCATTTCAGTCCACGTGGAATCTGGCGACACTAGCGCTGCGCTGCCGTCAGGACCGTAGCAAATCGGCGTCGAGTACATGATTTAGAAATTAATCTACGAGAACGGCCATGTTTTTGGTTGGATTCTTAGCGAAGGGAAAAATGGGTACTTTTTATTTTGAAAATGTCGAAGATTATTCGTATAACAAGCAACGGGCCCAAGGACATGAAATATTGTACGTCACAGGGCGATAAAACAATTTTCGGATTTATGTGATTAAAATCCTCGCCTTTGGCTTGGATTATTCGTTAGAAAATACTTTCATCGCCTGGTGATATAATGTACTATTACATCACGTGATACGATTTACGGTATTTTAAGAAACTCAAAAACATGCGCCTCATACCCCATAACGAGTAAATTTCACGAGGATCGAACGTTGCAAAAGACCAAAGTCACAAGTCATTTCCATTGTGAGAAAGTCAATCTCATCGTTTATTGAGCTTTTTGGATTCTCCACTTTATTATTAGGAGCCCCGGAAAAGCCCAGCTGGACCCGAAAAGAACTAATTTCTGCGACGGTTTTGAGCCATAGTCGGTCAGATGCGGGTGAAAACAATAAAAAATAATCAAAACAACTCCATTATGTTGACATATTGCACAACGTTTCAGGTGCTCAAGGCACTCCTCTTCAGGTGCTTCATATGTTTAATCTAGAAAAACGAAATAATACATACAGCAAAAAATGAAAACTATTGCAATCGCTATTGGAATATATGAAAAAATAGTTTTGACAATCATACCTTAATTCATAACGCTAAAGGAAAAAATAAAGCCAAATCCTAATTGCATAGCAGGTACACCACATTGTGCGCCCTAACCGTTGCAGAAATTATTACTATAACAGTCGAAAAAATGGATTTATTGCCGAACAGAACTATTTTGTTTTGAAGAGTTTTAAAAAGCTACCAAAGCAGTTGAATTAGTTTGGTCATTTAAAAATTTGTACTTCATTAAGATAGTATGGACTTGAATTTCGTGCATATTATAACAAATCAGGACATACCACTGGGGGGAAAAAATATAAATACATATCAGAAGCGAAGTGGTAAAACGGTTTAAGTCGACTTTGACTAATGGCCGTTGTTCAGTAAATATCTCAGAATCTACGGGAGATAGCTAAATTTTTGTTAAGACCTTTTTTGTAGCACTTAGTTTGCTCTAGAAAAAAGGTTATTACGAAAATTTTGTTATCTCCTTTAGATTCGGAGATATTCTTCAAAAACTCACCTAAGAGATAAGTCGACTGAAACCGTTTTACCTCTTCACTACTGATATAAAAAATCAATATTTTAGAAGTCCGTCTACAATTTTTTTGTGCATATTTCAGCTGTGTGTAACCCAAATTTCAGCTCATTAACATTTCAAAAAAAAGTCAAAAGTGTCCGTTTTACCCCAGCCTCCCCTAATCTTCGCGAAGCTTCACGATTTACGGTAAAAGGTAACTTCGGCTAATTTTTTACATTTTTTACCTGTATTACGAAAATTACAGGTTTTTTACACTGTCATGTAAAAACCTGCGCTTATCGACAGATGCCCAACTCTAGTCATGTCGTCTTTAGTCGACTTTCGAACATCAGTTATTGGATATTACTGGGCTAAATGACGCACTTATTTATAAGTTGTCCTCCGGCTCATCCGAATGCCGCCAAAATAACGCCATCTTTCGGACGCCATTGGGAAGACCTGCACTAGGAGGGGTTGCAGTGGTTGCAATCATGGCGACGTTGATTGACAACTACGAGCAACAATACGCGGTTCTAACTGCGGACATCACAGCGAAAATCAGTAGGATAGCGGCGTTGACTGGGGGTGAGTACTGGAATTCGTTCTCAAATGACACGGAATAATAATTGCCGTCATCTCCGGGGGTATTTCGGGTTTTTGGGGTGTGCTACCTAGCGGTATCTTCCCATAACAGTAATCGATAAACATGTGACGTCACGATTTTTGCAGGTGAAAAACGCGCGTTCAGTCAGGATGTCGATCGACAGCTCGAGGAAGCGCAGGAGTTGGTGAGGAGTTTTTTTGAAGATTTTTTTGTCAATATATAGTGCATCTCTGCCTTATCGACTCGAAATAAAAATCTGTATTTAAATTTAAATTTTTATTAACTTTATTTGGTAGGTATTACTTAAATTGAGCGACCACGTCAGATATAAATTATAAATAGTTATATTGTTTGTTGGTTTTCTCCGTTTCACCGTGTACCTTTCGGTTTTTACGGTTTCTCAATCCTTCATCTCTATTACAAATTACATTACAAATTTTTTCAAATTTTTATCAATAACACTATCCGACAAAAAATGAGCTTTTTCGAGGTCAGACATGAAATATAGATGAAATTAAAGATTTTTTCATACCGATTCCCATGGTGTTTGCCAAATTCCTCTATCACGTCAAGTTCCCGAGAAAATAAATAAATAAAGTCGAAAATTGACTCAAAAGAGCATCGGGAGGAAAAAAATTGTAGAATGAAAATAAAGTTCATTCAATCCGAAAAAATGATACGGAAACAAAAAACATTGGTCCATCAGACGGAAGAAAGTTTCCTCCAATTACGGAAGTAATTTCATCAGAAAAAATTCACAAAATATCAGATATTTATGATGTTTTGAGAGGAATGACGATGTACCTGAAATTGTCTATAGAACTCTCTAACCCAGTTAAAATGAACGTTGATATCTTCTATGACACGATAACCCCTTTCGAACATGAATCTTAACTTGAAGACATTTCGTTTAGTAAAGCTATTCGACAACTGCGTCATAAGAATTGATGATATGGGCACACGCGTGAATTCGTATGAAATCCGCCGCAGTAGTTTTTCTCCGAAAAGCGGCATCAAATCCAATTTTGGTGGGAAAAAATAATGGAATTTCGAATTTCAATCAAGCCCCAACTTTCAGGAAATTCATGAGCAGCTGGTGAACGAGGAATCCCCAGTTGACTTGCATTGTCAATCAAAACGTGAATATTAAGTACGATTTTCCACCAAATTACCCCGTATTTATTTCTCAGGAAAATACTGAAATCCCTATGGAGTTCAAATTTTTAGACAGAAAAAAGTAATTGTTAACATCAACACACTCAGAAATTTTATAAAAAACCTAATGAATTTAGTAGATAACTCTATTGAGTTTCAGTTGAACTTTTTATTAGTTTTTGGCCGATTCTACTCATTTTTTCTATAAGATATGTTCTATTCAACAATACAGTAGAAACAAAAAACTGATAGAATTGTACAGCGAATTCGCTAGGTCTTTCTAGAAATTTTTTTTATACGTGTCGGGCGGCAGATTTCAACGAATTCACGCGTGTGCCCATGTCATCAATTCTTTTGACGCAGTTGTCGATTAGCTTTACTGAACGAAATGTCTCCAAGTTAAGATTCATGTTCGAAAGGGGTTATCGTGCCATAGAAGATATCAACGTTCATTTTAGCTGGGTTAGAGAGTTCTATGAACAACTTCAGGTACAGCGTCATTCCTATCAAAACATCATAAATATCTGATATTTTATGAATTTTTTCTGATGAAATTACTTCCGTAATTGGAGGAAAATTTCTTCCATCTGATGGATCAATGTTTTTGTTTCCGTATAATTTGTTTTCGGATCGAATGAACTTTATTTTCATTCTACAATTTTTGTCCTCCGGATGCTCTTTTGAGTCAATTTTCGACTTTATTTTTTTTTCTCAGGAACTTGACATGATAGAGGAATTTGGCAAGCACCATTGAAATCGGTGTGAAAAAATCTTTAATTTCATCTATATTTGATGTCTGACCTCGAAAAAGTTCATTTTTTGTCGGACAGTGTAATTTTCTTGTATTTGTAAAAGTGATATTGATGAAATGTTATACTGCAATGTCAATTCTATCATCAACATCGACACATTTTTAAACTAGAGAAAAAATAGTTGGAGAAAAATCCAAAAAAATTTGTACTTCATTAAGATAGTATGGACTTAAATTTCGTCCATATTATAACAAATTAGGGCATACCACTGGGGAGAAAAAAATATAAATACATATAAAAAACAATATTTTTAAAATCCGTCTATAATTTTTCTTTCTGCATATTTCAACTGTGTGTAATCCAAATTTCAGCTCAATTGGTCGAAAATGGAGGCATGAGGACGTTTTTATCGATTTTGACCCGTTTCGACCTTTTAGAACCTTCCGAAAGCCTCCGAGTTCGATTTTTTCTCACTTTTTTTTCACCTACAACACATATTATAAACTTTTACAATCGTCTCTATAATACCCAGTGTGACGTGAGAGGTTTTCTACCTCCCTTAATTGAGTCACCAGTCGACTCAAAAACTTTTGCTCAACTAGCTACGGTCAGAGCTCACGCGGATTTCTCTCAAGATCTAACGTGACGCGACTAGGATAGGATTTGATTAGGTATTCTTCGTATAAAACAATCGAGCACCACTGTTACATTAATAATTGACAGTATATTGAATAGATAGGTAAAGTATAAAATCAACTGTTAAATGGGTTCGGTTTCGACGCGGATCTACTATAGATTTTTGGCTAGGAGAGGACGTCCGTCCATCTTCAACTCCTGCCGTACTCTGCACTATTCCAGAGCTTCAAAGTCGTTGCTGGCCGAAAATGCTAAATAAGTGTTCTCACGGTTTTTCTAACTAACACGGCCATATGTCCATCACTGACAATGGCTAAGACAATCAAACAGCTCCATTCTGAGAAGCTGGACTCAGGTGTCACCGTGAGACTGCTTATTGAGCATTTGGGACTTTTTCTATCTAGAAAATATTAATTGAATAAAATCGACGTGTGAATATCTCCACACGTCACACCCAGAAACTTTCAAATTTCCCCGCGGTCTCCCCTTAATTGATAATTCATTGTCGAAAGTTGAAGATGTCAAACGCCTTAAAATCGCTGATGAACAATCGGAGGATGGCTCCAGCCAACCAAACCCAATCTTTAGGAGCGTCTTATGCAATGGATGATGGCGTCCGCCCCCTCTCTCTTAGATTCGACCAATGCAGCGCCACCCAGCATTACTCATGCGACTTTGTGACGTCATGACCGACCTAATACGTTTCAAAAACGTCTAATTTCCAATCAATTATTGCAAAATGTCCGGGCAATATTTCTTCATAATCCTTTTCGTTCAGCTATCTATGGGTTATCTTTAAATGTGGGAATTGAACACCCCCTGTGCGCGTTTTCACCGCAAAATGGGGGACATTTTAAATGGCGTCTTTTCAGTTGGAGCAGATGGAGTTGGAGGTGCGGGGAACCTCCGGAAACCAGAGAGAACGACTCAAGAGCAGAGTGGAGAGCCATCGAGCCGAGTTGAAAAGGCTCTCGCAGGAGTTTCAAACAGCGAAGAAGCCGAAGGAGGACGCCATCGATATGGGTCTCGACGACAATTGGGACAGTGGAGTGACTGAAGATCAAAGGAAGAGGCTCCTGGATACTTCAGAGAGGATAGACAGAACTGGAAGAACTCTGCAGAATGGGTACAGAATGGTTCTGGAGACTGAAGAAATTGGATCTCAGGTGCGTTGGTTTCATTTTTCATGATTTTTGGCAATTTTGAATTTTTCTCAAATTTCCCTGAAAGTGAATTTTCGATTCTTCAAATATGATGTTTCAAATTCACTAAAATGTGCATGAAAAAAGTTTTTCTCATATCATTTTATCGAAGGCTGAGGATAATATAGATGGCACTATTATTTAGTTTGATTTATACAAAAATTTCCACCGAAAATCAGACACAATTGAACAGCACAATATGAAATCAAACAAGATGTCATCTATTAAAAAATAGATGAAACATTGTTGGTCAGCAATCTATTTCGCCAATTAAAAAATATAAAAATTATATAAAATATATGTTTTATATATTTTTTTTATGTATTCTTTATAAATTTGACAAATATATGGAATTGGCCCATATTATATATATTGTTTAATATATTTTTTGCATCATTTTAAAAAAGTTTTCTCACTTCTAAACATTATAAAAACGAATTTTAACTCCCATTCAATGAAGAAATGAATACTTTCCATAGTTTTTTCGACCGTACCTTTCATTCAAATAAATAATAAATGAATACATAATGATAAAAAATAATATGTATAAATCATGTGCAAAATTATGTCCATAATTTTTTATAATAAAAAAATCCAATTGTTTTTTATTCAAATTCTTTAACTTTATCGTTCTCAACTCTAACACTTCTTGACTAGATCCTAATTCGATGATTCCCTCAGGTGCTGAAGGATCTTCATGACCAGAGGGAGACGATCCAAAGGAGCCGCGGAAGGGTAAGTAAATTTCCCGATCCCATCGAGTATTATTCCTGCATCAGAAAAGATGCAAAAAGAAAACATCCTAAAATTTCAGTTGAGAGAAACAGACGCAGAACTGGGTCGAGGCTCTCGCCTCCTCTCAACCATGATCTTTCGATCAATCCAACAAAGACTAATCCTAGCAGCTGTCGTAGTTGTTCTCGCAATAGTCGGCTGTATCGTGATATACTACAGCTTCACATCTCGAAGTTAAGGTACATGTGATGAATTAATTAACCAATTGATTAATTAAAACCTCCAGGAACTTTGGAGAGGGGCCATGAACCCCTAGCTACCAGAAGCGCCTGTCCGAAGTGGCCTAACGCAATTTCTAATCAGTTAATCATCATCAAACGAAGAGAGCAGTATTTATTTATTATGGTTGTTGATGTTGTGATTGATGTAAAGATTATGTTTATGCTAATGCATTCCACTGTGTTTTGAGAGGTGACTGATAGATATGAAACTGTAAATGATTTAAAATTAATTGTAAATAAAGAAATTAATATTCAGGGGAAATAAGGAGAGTCGAAGCGGTCTAACAATAATTCATTTTTATTTTATACTCAAATCTTCTTTTATGTGATTTCGGGGAATGAAAACATGAGTTTCATCACTCAATCTTTTCATTCCGCAATAAATTCACTCTTAAATAGCTTAAAATCCGTGTAATTCCTCTTTTTCTCATCTTCTTTCTTCATCTACCAGTGAATTCACATGTACGTGTAAAGTGAAAATCATTATAATTATAATTACCATAATAAAATAGAGCGTAGGCTTTCGCGTGGCAGATGAACAATCGTGAAATCAAAAGTCATCGTTAAAGCATACTCTTCTTCATACTTTTCACTTGCTTCATCTTTGGTTCATAACAAACATTTGAAAATAGCAAAAATGTGCTGATGGCGTTGCTGCTGATAAACACGATTTTTAAAATCTAATTATGGTCGCAATTAGCATTCAGTTCAAATTCTGGTAGAGGTCCTCGATTTGGGGTTTGAAGTAGGCTTTGAGTTGTGGCCGTTTAGTCTTTAGTGTTGGGGTCAGCAGACCATTTTGTACGGAGAATGGATCCGGATGGAGATAAATGTCTTTTACCTGGTTAAAGACAATTTAGTTTGAATTCAAGTCAGTAATTCTGGGGATATGATGACAATAGATTGTCATGGGGCTAGGCAGGACAAGACAAGAATAATTTATTTATACGCTAGCTGCGTGATTGATGAAGGACACTAGTAAGGGGTTCCCTAACTTTTGATCCTTGGACAAAATTTCGGCGACAATTTATCCACTGACAATTTTCCCATCGATAATTCTTTCCACATCATTTATTCCCGACGTGTAAAATATCCACCGGCTAATTTTCCGGAGGTGTCATTCAAATTTCATCTTCGTCTGAAGGATTATCAAGTGCAAAAAGGAAAAGAAGTAACTCGGAATTCACAGATAACATTTCATAGCTTGTGCGTAAAGTGAAATTTTTTAGCGCAAATTCCTGCGTTCTACGAATCGTGGTGAAAAATAGGATTCGATATTCGTGGGAAAAGTATTCATTAACCCTGGGGAGGGTAGCGCTCGCCGAAAGGCGAATCAAAATATGCTATTTAATTCGCAACTTTCAATTCGATAACTCACATTTTACGTACAATTACAATGCTTCCGCCACTCCAGCAAACGAATTCCCCTCGATTCATAGAAACACGCTATTTCCATTAATTAATAATTATACATTATAACCATTCAGTGACATTGAGATAATACATAATTACAAATAATACTGAGTTAATATCGAATTAAAAGCAAATTTAATGATACTGAATTTGCATAATATCTATTGAATTAACCGTTCACGTACGGCGCCCATATAATGCGGCTTGTTCCAACGGCCGGGAGACTTACGGCGCGTCAACTCTGTTATTCAATGAACGATGAGTTGAAAACAGTCGAACGAAAAAAATTCAAATAAAATGCATTGGCTGTATTGAACTTTGAAATAAACTCCTAGAGAATTTCCTAATTTTTGACATGAATTTCAATGTTTGCCGACAATTGGTTGCCGAGCTCTTTGAACATGCTAAATTTATTTATAACAAACAAATTATTCAACAAATCGAAATTTAACTTCTGCCATTCGATAGAAGGATCATTGAAGGATTTTCAGTAAAAATTTCAAAATTTTTGGGAGAAATTTTATCGATAAACGAGATAATTTAATATCATTGAATCGGTTGGATGTAAAATTTTGATCTACAACTTTTGTTCATACAAAAAAATATTATAAATGCTTTTAAAAAAAATAGAATAAAATAGTTCACTGCAGAGACAATTCCATTGACTTTCCAAATATCTTTTCCAAATGTCAATATGTCTCTTAGAATTCGAGAAAATAATTTTTTACTGTTGACGGAAAGGGTCGATACCATGCATGGACCCCGCCGATAAGACAAGTTTATAGGTTACAATATAAAACACCTTCCTGGGGCCATAATGGGGTCATAAATTGCATCTCGAATTGAAAGAATTTAATCAAAAACAATTTCCTCATTTGCCTACGTTTCGAGTGCTAAATGGACTCCTCATCGGGGCAATCTTTATTCCATCTATAAATCAAATTATAAAATCACAATCATATTTCTGTTTCGACTATTAGTATGTAGTCTACATTACATACATACTAATAGTAGGAACAGAAATATGATTGTGATTTTATAATTTGATTTATAGATGGAATAAAGATTGCCCCGATGAGGAGTGCATTTAGCACTCGAAACGTAGGCAAATGAGGGAATTGTTTTTGATTAAATTCTTTCAATTCGAGATGCAATTTATGACCGCATTATAGCCCCAGGAAGGTGTTTTATATTGTAATAATTGAAGCGGTTGAATAATACAACGTGAAAGTTTATAGGTTGATGCATGGTATCGACGCCGTACGTGAGGGGTTAAGTAAATATTATGCGAATCAATTCGAATTCCCTTTGAATTGCATTCCCTCGCTAGTGACTGTTTACCATCCGAAATTGTAAACACATGGAATATCGGCTGATTTTTTGACGTTAATAATTTTTTTTTTATCGTTATTTTACATCGCTTCGACCCGGTTAGGATATACTGCGATGATGATCAAGACTTTAAATGGTTAGATCGCACCATTCTACCCGGCCGGGATTTGAACTCGGAACCTTTCGCATGTGAGGCAACGAACAATGTACCGAGGATAAATTATCGGCAGATCAGATGTCAATAATACAACTGTCGCTGGAAAAATTGTCTTCAGTTTTCTTTTCATTGGGAATTTGGCGCGGAAATTTTGCCCGCGGATCAAAAAGCGTGTTACCGGTGAGCAGGTTGATGGAATGATGAGCCCAGACGTAAATTTAGTTTGTGTTTCCATAAACATAGTGGCGTATTTGGGACTCGGTTTATGGTGAGAACGAAATGTTTATGATAGGAAAGTTTTGAAGATTAGGTTTTATTTTTCTGTGTGAGCGAGTGATTTCAGTGATTCGGGTAATCTCAGGTAAATGTTGGTTGGTAATTTTGTGTTTTGTGTGAATAAATATTTTAGGTAGAGACAGTCAACACATTGAAAAAAACTTTCAATCACTCGTTTTTTGTGCCTACAATTTGACATTAGCTGGTAGACAGCTAGCGTATTGTCTTGTCTTACATTTTCTGGATCTCAATGCATTTCTACCAATGATGAAAATATAAAAAAATTGATCGATTATAATCGAAGGCATGAGGAAGTTCATTGAAAGATGGTGAGAATCTTCTGATAAAATTACCTGCTCGAAGGACCTGAGGCCAGCCTCTTTTCCCCATGAAATCATATCGTCGTGAATCAATCTTTTAACTTCAGGATTTGCACAGAGAACACTCAGTGTTCCCGGTATACTATTCTCAAGTGCCCAACACTTGATAACATCCACATCGGGCACGACAATTGCCACAACGCAGGACTTTAGCGATTCACCGTGAACAAATACTTGGTGAACGTATTGACTTCTTATATAAATATTTTCAATTTTCTCCGGTACGATGTATTCACCTTGTGAAAGCTTGAAGATATGTTTCTTTCGGTCGATTATTTTTAGACAACCGTTCTGAAAGAATATAAAGTCATGAGCAAATAAAATCTCAGAGTCGCTGACAAATCTCATCATTTTTTTATAAATCTTTTCTCTTTTAAAAAAGTTGAAATTTTTTCTCTAAAAATTTGTCACAAAAATGAAATTCCGATTTTGCGTGATCACTCACTGATAACCACATGCCAATATCCCCAGTATGATGCCAGCCCTGTTCATCAACAACTTCAGCAGTCTTCTCTGGATTCCTGTAGTAACCAACGAAAACATTGGTACCCTTGACGCATACCTCGCCTTGATTATTGGCCGCGTAGTACTCCATCTCAGGTACATCCACAAGTTTTACACAACAACAGGCGACGGGTGGACCCACGTGTTCTGGCACATAATCCCCCTGTACAAGAATATACATTATCAAGTTTATTATTAAAACACTCGAGACGTTTTTGCGTAATGACTGTGACGACTTTACGTGTCGTGACGAAATTCTTTGATGTCACGGGATTCGGAAGTCGTCACATGTCTGAGAGACCCTCGGCATTGATCTTAAGGGGAGTTCACGTGGCTGAATGATTAGACAAAATTCTCTTTTATTTATTTTTAGATAGTAGTATGAACACATCAGTCACGAGATATTTCGAATAAAATTCTTTCCGCTGTGCATCAGGCGGGATTTGAATTCACAACCTTCAGATTACCATAAACCACTCGTTTCACACGAATCGTGATTTGATTTTTTTCTTCATCAATGGAGGATTGTTTCAGCCTCTGCCAGGGCTTCGCATGTGTAAAAATTTAATAGAAAAACCAGCGATGCCGCGAGACGAGACAAGACGAGAAGATGCCGTTCGTCTCGTTGTCAGGAAACCATTCTCTCGTCTCGTCTCGTCTCGCCTTATCTCGTCTCTATAATTCAATTTGTACGAAAAAAAAATATACAGATNTTCAATTTTCTCCGGTACGATGTATTCACCTTGTGAAAGCTTGAAGATATGTTTCTTTCGGTCGATTATTTTTAGACAACCGTTCTGAAAGAATATAAAGTCATGAGCAAATAAAATCTCAGAGTCGCTGACAAATCTCATCATTTTTTTATAAATCTTTTCTCTTTTAAAAAAGTTGAAATTTTTTCTCTAAAAATTTGTCACAAAAATGAAATTCCGATTTTGCGTGATCACTCACTGATAACCACATGCCAATATCCCCAGTATGATGCCAGCCCTGTTCATCAACAACTTCAGCAGTCTTCTCTGGATTCCTGTAGTAACCAACGAAAACATTGGTACCCTTGACGCATACCTCGCCTTGATTATTGGCCGCGTAGTACTCCATCTCAGGTACATCCACAAGTTTTACACAACAACAGGCGACGGGTGGACCCACGTGTTCTGGCACATAATCCCCCTGTACAAGAATATACATTATCAAGTTTATTATTAAAACACTCGAGACGTTTTTGCGTAATGACTGTGACGACTTTACGTGTCGTGACGAAATTCTTTGATGTCACGGGATTCGGAAGTCGTCACATGTCTGAGAGACCCTCGGCATTGATCTTAAGGGGAGTTCACGTGGCTGAATGATTAGACAAAATTCTCTTTTATTTATTTTTAGATAGTAGTATGAACACATCAGTCACGAGATATTTCGAATAAAATTCTTTCCGCTGTGCATCAGGCGGGATTTGAATTCACAACCTTCAGATTACCATAAACCACTCGTTTCACACGAATCGTGATTTGATTTTTTTCTTCATCAATGGAGGATTGTTTCAGCCTCTGCCAGGGCTTCGCATGTGTAAAAATTTAATAGAAAAACCAGCGATGCCGCGAGACGAGACAAGACGAGAAGATGCCGTTCGTCTCGTTGTCAGGAAACCATTCTCTCGTCTCGTCTCGTCTCGCCTTATCTCGTCTCTATAATTCAATTTGTACGAAAAAAAAATATACAGATGGGAAGAGAGGGGGAGGCTCTCTCGACTCTCGTCTCGCCTCTCGTTTCTCTCGTTCTCAAGCGGCTTTTCTCGTCGCGTCTTGTTATGTCTCTCGTCTCGTTTGTCTCATTTCTCTCGTGTCTCGCGGCATCACTAAGAAAAACCTAGTGAATTGAATAGAAAATTCTATTGGATTTCCAATGGAAAATGTCCAATGGAGACTTTTACAGAAAAAAATCAGTGGAATTTAATCTTTCTATACGACTTTTTCTATTGAGACATTTTCTATAAAAATTTCTTTTTTTTCTCGCTAGCCTTTTCTGAGAATTTTTTGTGTATATACCCCCGCGGTTTTTTTTCTAAAATTATTTCTCAATCATTTCTCTGTCTATTTTCTCAGACAGCCATCGAATGTGAATTGAATCCAAACTATTCGACGAACATCTGTATAAATCGCGTAAACATTATCCAACCGCTTCTACACCGCAGACTAGCTGAGTGTAAAAGTAAACATGGCGGGAGAATGAAGAGAAAGGGAACTGAGAAAGAAGTGAGAAAGACGCTCAGTTTATTTGTGGACGCGTTTATTGACCGCGTGAATAACGCAAGGGGCTATAACTTGAAGTATCCATCGAATAGCCACTGTATTCTGGGTTCACGAAACTACCTCGAATGAATTATGATTCCCGTATTCATGAAGGGCGTAATGGGTGGGCATTCAATATGGCGTCATGGTTGGGGGGTCTCTCAGATGTTGACGTTCTACACTGATTTAGAATCTAGCTGGGGTTAATCTGGATGTCGTTTGAGGTAAGTTCATTCACTCGGTCATCACGAGACAAGTCGGATGACTAAAAACACGCGCCCGTGACAAATGACGAGGCCACCAAGTCTCGAGGTGAGGGTGTCACATTGGGTGAGTTTTTTTTAGTTCATCTTCGGGGAAAGGACATCTGTTTAGATCGATTTCGTGATGTATTGAACTGACTCGTGAGTCATTATTTAGTGAATTAGCGATAATGTGGACGTAACCCCGAAATTTTTTTGGAAATGAATCCATTATTTCGCCAATATCTCTCAAACCAATGGGTTTACGAAAAAAAGTGATAAGAACTTTTTTGTAGCCCATAAAATTCTCCATAAAAAAGTCCTGTTGTGATTTTTTCTCAATTCAAAAACTGATTGAATTCAGATGACTTACTTGAATGGTCAAGGTAATCGGTGCACAGCACTCAGTCTGTCCATATCCCTCAACAACTAGGCACCCCAATGCACACCTAGTGAAGGTGAGGACATTTCCAGCAAGTGGCGCTGATCCCACCACCATCAGCCTCACTCTTCCACCCATAGACTCCTGAATCTTCTTAAATACTAATTTGTCCCATAAACTATTGTTCCGTATGATACACTTTTTGATTTCCGATTCCTTGGATCTCATGCCCATGTTGAAGAGCATTCGCTTTAGGAATGAACTTTGCAGCTCGGCCTGCACCTGTTACATGGAAATAAAAAGGAAATCAGTGGTGAGAGGAATTCGCTGGTTAATTCTGACTCGAATGTGATCCTCCTATGACCTCCGGGCAGATTTTCTCCTGCGATAAAGTGTTTATTTAGAGACGTTACTTCCTAAATACTTCCGGAATTCAGTTTTTTTCTGAGTTATTCTGGTACTCATCATTTGGCAGCCGAAATGTCCTATTGCGCAGCATCGACAATGGCCTTCACGGCGGCTAGCGATTTGGCAGGAGTTGTCATCAGAGTGAAATAGCTTCAGTGAAATTTCAGTTGGAAAACTCAGCATTACGCTTCGTCGTGAAGGATAATATTTGAAAGCACACAGCCGTACAAATTCCACACTTGCTCCATCAACAACACCAAAAAACGAACGTCCATCTTACCTTGTCATACAGCCGATTCAGTAGCCTCGGAACAGCAGGCATTACCGTAGGTCTGAGTGCCTTCATGTCTTCGGGAAGTGTCTTAATGTCCCCGCTGTAGAACCCCACAGATCCCCCCACAATATACATTCCATTCTCACAACACCTCTCCAACATGTGGGCAAGTGGTAGGAAACTGATCATCACGTCGTTCGCCGAAGGTCTGTGATCACCCAACTGCAGGAGAACAGCGCAAACCCCTGCCATGACATTCTGATGGGTCAGCATGACACCCTTGGGATTCCCCGTTGTTCCCGATGTGTAACATACTGTACACAGATCCGTCGCTTTCGGCGGAATCTCAGGCTGATTTCTCTGTGCTCCAAGCCGCTCAACATCTTCGAACCTCATGAGCTCAACTCCTCGGTTCTTTGCTCTTTGATTTGTTGCTGGTCGGGTCTCCTTCATCACGATTAACTTTCTCAAGCATCTGAAGGACAAGATGAAGTTGTTGGATTGGAAATTTGAAAGGATTCGAAAAGAAAAGGTGATGGCTTCTATCGTGATGAGGATGGATAGGACGTACCTTGGTGCTTTGTCTAACAATAAATTACACTTTTTGTCATCTTCACAAACAACGAGGCTTATTTCAGCCTGATTGATGATGTAGGCACAAGCGTCAGGTCCAAGAGTATCGTAGAGGGGCACCACCACTAGGGAATAGGTGTAGCAGGCCTGCTCAGTTAGCACCCATTCCGGACAATTTTGACTGTATAGACCGATCAGTGTTTGGGGGCCAAGGGAGAGGCCGCAGGATACCAATCCTGATCCGAAATTCTTGGCTCTGAGGAGGGTCTCGTTGTAGTTCATCCATTGGTAAGGCTTGCTTAGGCTGTCCCTCCAGCCGAGACAGGGGCCATTGTCTGCAGGATAATTTATAGTTCTACAGAGTGTCTCAAATTAAAAGTTAAAACTGGTTCACATTCTGCGTTAATTGGTAGTCTCTGCGATTTCATTATTCAAAAATGGCCGAATTTGAATGAAATTATGGTCGTTGAATTTGTCTTCAAAAAAGTTACAACTTTTGTAGGAGTGAAAAATTGAGTTTCCTACGACGATTTCGACAACGATTTACGCAGGATCAAGGCGTTCATTGATATTTAAAAAATCTGATCAATTTTTGATCAGAGTAGCTCTTGCCAAGATATTTGACTGTGACTTTTAATTTGGGACACTCTTTATATTATTGATAAAATTAGCACATTGTCTTGAAAACAATTAGGTTGAGAGGAAAAACCTGAAAAACAATCATCCGTGTCATTCAGACTGATGAAGATAAGAAATTAATCCGGCTAATTCATAGTTCATTTTTTTTTATTTATATCAATCTCCGTTTAGAATTTATTTCCGATTTTAATTTCCAATATTTGAGTTATATTTATGATTTTTTAAATCTAAAAAAAAATGCTATTTATGAATATAACCTTGGAGAACCTCCTGTCTATTGGTGGGTGTAAAGCCCCAACAACAGTCTTCAAAATAACTTTCATTGAAATTTATAAAAAATCCTGCATGAAGAAAGCGTAAAAATGAAGTAGAAAAAAAAATTAATCCGCAACCGCAAGACTATAATGACCTCGTTCTCCCCCAACTAAGACACCCAACCCCCGGAAGTAAGAGGTACAAAACTGTCAGGGTCGTGAAAACACATGCCAACATTCGTTCAAGCATCATTAATACGTCCATCGTCTGTTATTTTAATGGATGTATGAATTTCAAATAAACACGACTGCAGTAGTTGACACTCATTCAAATTTTTGGTCAATTAGTTGCAGATAAATATCATTGTCCGCCATTACGAAGAAATGGTGATCAATTTTTCGACGTTTTTGCCAATAACAGTGACCAATCATGATGAATAATCAATATTATCGATGATATAATGCCATAATTGCTCATAGATTACGTAATATTATTTTGGAATTTTTTGTTTTCTTTGGAGCACAACTCTTTAGGCACGTGTAACCGCAGCTGTCCCATTATAAATTCCTCAGACATCGCTCGGTTAAGAATCAAAACACCACGAACCCGAGACTATTTTAACATCTTTCACAGCATCAACTACTAAGTCTAACTGTAACTCAAACTTCCTCTCCGAAGGTGTAAGTACAAAATGTTGCAGTTCCACTGCAAAATGTAGTGAGTGGTAAATCTTCGAGTCGGCGATGAGGTCAGTGAGCCCATGAATCATATCTGAATTATCTGACTGAATTAATTCGGGGGTAATTAATGCACTCACTTGATTCTTTGGCTCCTTTCCGGAAGGCGTCGTAGAGGGTTCTCACGTCCTCGTGAATGAAGCTTATGAATTTTCCCTCGCGACTGTTTTTGTAGAATTTCGACACTCGGATGTACTCGGCGCCCTGCATAATGGAAAAACATTTTTTTACAAAATGGTTCATTGCATCGGGGTGATAATGACCCCAATCAATGCTCCGGGAAGTTTACCATCAAATTAGAAAAACACGACCTTTCTAGCTCTTTTAGTCCTCGAGATATCGCAGGAAACACTTTCTAGATTTGTGACATCATAAGTAACAAAGAAGAGATCGTCTTTTTTAATTTCGGGTGAATGTTCCTGGCTCTTTTACGACATCAAAATCATCCGTGTTTTATCCACAGAAAGCAAGATGATTTTTCAAAAAGCTATGAATTGATTGTTATCGAAAATGATAGACGTCAGCACGTGATAATGACAGTCAAATTCCTTCAGATCATCTTGGTAATTGAAATATTAAATATTAAAGGAACCCGATTTCGAGGCCATCTCACATTCAGACAAATTTGCGATTAACATCACTAGAAACTCTTGCACCTCCAAAAAATTTCTTCATTCTGAAACCTTTCCTGGCATCCACCCGATGCCACCTATTCCTCCCCGCCCCTCAAAACAATGCCACTTATTTTTCTCTCCCCCTCAGAATTCAATCCGCATTACCCATTTCATCATTCCACCATTATCCTATTTTACTCCTCTGACTGTTATGTAACGACTCGTCAATACCCAATTATAACTCCCGGAGTGCTGACATAGTTTGTATCGATTCAAGTTTGAAGAGAATAAGCGGACTAATGAAACTTGTTCATCTCCATTCCTCTGTTCTCCGAATAATGAAAAACAAAATTATTGACTGTTGGCAATTGTCGCGTTCAATCCATAACCCCTTATTCATTTTGATTTCCCACAAGCGAACTGAAATTACTGAGCAGCAATCGCTTCTGAAGATCAATTGTGCACTTCTTTTTGCGCCCCCCCCCCCCTAATGGATACGATAGCGACCATTATTCACCAATTAACCACCTTGATCGTATCGGACTGCTCCTTTAACTCGATGGGTGGGCGGATGTTCGGCTGAGCGCCCCCACAGCCCGGCATCTCGTCCCGAATGAGAAGACTTCTCAAAAAGTTCACAAATCTCCACCTTAACAAAAGACCACCAGAAGAATCCCCACTGAACAGTTCACCTCACAGAAAATCCTAAAACCTCAAATTTCCCTGATAAAAAAATTAATGAACACGTTAGATCTCGAGAACGGCTGTTCCGAATCCCAAAAATCTTCACGGAAAATGAAGTCCACGTGAAACCATAACGACTTTTCATCCACATGTACCAACCCGGTCAAAAAATTCCAAATACTGTTGGCTTGGCACGCGGCCGGATGCAAACTGAAGGGACCGTTGATGCTTTTCCTATTTGGCTACGCGATATCCCACCTTCATGCCTTTATTTACGGCACGTGTGTGTGTGTGAATAATTCTTGCCAGAAGAAGAAGGGAAGTGGAGAAACGATGAAACAACTCAACATTCACATACACCTTGGTTGACTTGGAAGATCTATTCGCATATCCAACACCAGCAGGCGAATTTAAATATAGGTGATGAGTTGAAGGGAGCATCTGAGGAGAGCCCCGGCTGATGGTCTCGTCTCTTGGAGTAATGCCAGTTGACATGCAGCTTGAGATAAACAGGAGATGCTAACAATGGGTTTTTCTTGATGCATTGAGCTGGTGATCAGTGGCGTCATTAAAGGATGGTTAGTTCTGAATGTTTAATGGTCATTTTTCGGACGAAAGGGAGTTGTCGAGCGCAACTACCGAATTTTGGAGGTTTGATGGGACATTTAAAGAAGACTGAGCTAAGAAAACAATCCAGGAAGTACTATATTCGATCAGGCTTGATTCAGCGTTGATGCCAGCACTTGATCAAGGCTTGCCTGAAATTAACCTGATTGTGGCTTTCTTTGGTTTCATCGAATCTCATGAAATAGGGAGGTCCTGTACCTGAGGATAATCGACCTGCTGCTTCCGATTTCGACTAGAACGACCATCTCCGGAAATTAAGGATACTTGAGTGACACATGTTGAACCGATAATTCTGCTGATTGCACAAATTCTGATAGGCCTACCATTTCTCATTGCACAAACAACTACAACTTTGAAGGCTACCCTCGCTCACCGGAAGTAGCCGTGACTGAGCGTCGAGGGGCATCANCTAATGGATCCGATAGCGACCATTATTCACCAATTAACCACCTTGATCGTATCGGACTGCTCCTTTAACTCGATGGGTGGGCGGATGTTCGGCTGAGCGCCCCCACAGCCCGGCATCTCGTCCCGAATGAGAAGACTTCTCAAAAAGTTCACAAATCTCCACCTTAACAAAAGACCACCAGAAGAATCCCCACTGAACAGTTCACCTCACAGAAAATCCTAAAACCTCAAATTTCCCTGATAAAAAAATTAATGAACACGTTAGATCTCGAGAACGGCTGTTCCGAATCCCAAAAATCTTCACGGAAAATGAAGTCCACGTGAAACCATAACGACTTTTCATCCACATGTACCAACCCGGTCAAAAAATTCCAAATACTGTTGGCTTGGCACGCGGCCGGATGCAAACTGAAGGGACCGTTGATGCTTTTCCTATTTGGCTACGCGATATCCCACCTTCATGCCTTTATTTACGGCACGTGTGTGTGTGTGAATAATTCTTGCCAGAAGAAGAAGGGAAGTGGAGAAACGATGAAACAACTCAACATTCACATACACCTTGGTTGACTTGGAAGATCTATTCGCATATCCAACACCAGCAGGCGAATTTAAATATAGGTGATGAGTTGAAGGGAGCATCTGAGGAGAGCCCCGGCTGATGGTCTCGTCTCTTGGAGTAATGCCAGTTGACATGCAGCTTGAGATAAACAGGAGATGCTAACAATGGGTTTTTCTTGATGCATTGAGCTGGTGATCAGTGGCGTCATTAAAGGATGGTTAGTTCTGAATGTTTAATGGTCATTTTTCGGACGAAAGGGAGTTGTCGAGCGCAACTACCGAATTTTGGAGGTTTGATGGGACATTTAAAGAAGACTGAGCTAAGAAAACAATCCAGGAAGTACTATATTCGATCAGGCTTGATTCAGCGTTGATGCCAGCACTTGATCAAGGCTTGCCTGAAATTAACCTGATTGTGGCTTTCTTTGGTTTCATCGAATCTCATGAAATAGGGAGGTCCTGTACCTGAGGATAATCGACCTGCTGCTTCCGATTTCGACTAGAACGACCATCTCCGGAAATTAAGGATACTTGAGTGACACATGTTGAACCGATAATTCTGCTGATTGCACAAATTCTGATAGGCCTACCATTTCTCATTGCACAAACAACTACAACTTTGAAGGCTACCCTCGCTCACCGGAAGTAGCCGTGACTGAGCGTCGAGGGGCATCAGTGGTGTTTCCGGGCTTGGTTTTGTCGCGTAATAGGCCGCGACACCTGTTAACACCAGGGCGCCAGCACCTCCGATGTAGGGCAGGAGATCTTCGAAGTGTGTCTGCAACACTTTAAATGGATAATGGTCAGTAATACTCGATTACCCTCATAATAATTTTTGTTTTCGCGAATTCTCCGTGGTCTCCGTCGCGATGAGTTACATCGCGGACATTACTTCCGCGAATTTATAAAATAATTACAATTATCGATCCTCCCTCCGATAACTAATATTACTTGTCCAACTCCATTCAACTCTTTAGAATAATAGAAATCGATGCCAACACAGGACACGTAAATTGGCTTGGAATGAGTTCTCCGGTAGGAGGGTTCATTATTGCCCCAAAAAAATCAATTGCCCCACGCAGGAAGTTACAACAGCTCATTCAACAGTCCAAATACACCCCATTTATTAAAAAAAAATCTCCCGAACAAATGTCCGCGAGAAGAACAGCCAAATGACAATTGATGTAGTTGTACTTACTGATGGCCTTGATATGAGATTCCGGGCGTTGTGATGGGTCCACTTTTTAGGTTCTCAAAACCAGAGGATTTCCAAATTTAAAGCAATTTTCCCCCTCAAAAAATTGATAACTTTAAAGAAACCAGCTTAAAAAATCAGCGGAACAGACAGAAAAAATAAAGTAGAAGGGTGGTTATCGTTAAAACGAACGACTCCGCATGTCATCTAACCCGTCTGACTTTTTGTAACTTCTTACCCCCTTTTTTTTATTATCAGTCCGCTATGCGGATAGCCGCACTGGTGGTGCCTTCCACGCCACCCTCTTGATGTTGTTGCGGGACTAACGTTACAATTGGGGGAAGAAATCAATGAGCCGCCCTCTATGTCTGTCCCACCCCGATGTGAACCTGTTATAGATAAGCAGTTCACCCTTTGCGGCATTGATACTTGGAGGGTTCTTCCGGTTACCAGAATGCGAACGCGAAGGGCGGGATTTTCGCAGACGAGGACAAGTTATCGACTAGCGGTGATGGCTTACCGACGTCGACTCTATGATAATGTCACCTTCAAATGAACTATTTTGGGATTGACAGATCGAAATTGATCAGCCTATGGTAATCGTTGGTCCCTAACAACGAGGCCTGTAGTATCAAACCCCTCTTGTGAAGACTTTATGCGCGATATATTTTGAATCCACTCAAGTGGAATACCTCTGAGATAGATAACTGAAAATTTAAAGGCTTGATTGGTTGCTATTTGGGTAGCGAGCAGATACTCCTGGATGAAAGTCTCTGGAGGTTCCACAGTCAGCGTTGTACCACGTGAGTTGAATCGCGTTTCTGACATGCTTCTGCATTGATCAAAAATTTTGATCTGGAGTCAACGAACAGGTAATTATCCTCCCTTGAAGATCGTCGCGATTTGACCAATAGAGATTGATCGTTGATTTTATGATATAGAATGTTCCACCACCGTCAGCACTGGTTGCTCATCCCCACGGGTCTCCTCGGCTTCTTCTGCCTCTGGAGAACATCGTCTTGGAACGCCCCAAGTGTACTCACTAGTACGTCAATCCAACTGGACCTGTCGCTGCCCGCACCCAGTGTCGTCAACCAACGGGCCTTCAACATCTCCAAGAAGTACCCAAAACCCCCGAAGAGAAGACACCGTGGAGCAGCGTCCAGGTACATGCTCCAGCTTTATCATCGGCGGCCATCAGCGGACATCGTCCGGGCACTCTCTCCCCTGCACGTCTCAGGGCCAATAGAACACAACGGCGGCGGGCGGATTCTGGAGTTCCAACTGCCTCCAGTCAACCCAGAGGAGTATCTCGAAGCCGCGGAACTCCTCGGCACCGCAGGTATGATCCTCCGGGTGAAGTCGATGGACCATTTCGTTCAGCCCGAGGGGTTGAGGGCCTCCAGGAGGGATGAGACCTGGCGAGCGTTCGACGTGACGTCAACCGTGAAAAAACGAAAGGAAGACATCGTAAAATTTCTAGTGACAGGTAGGGTCAGGGGACAACCGGGGGGAGAGGGTCCCATTCTCCTCCTCAGCTATACGAAGCCCAAAAAGAGGACACGCCGATCAGCGGAGGAAGAGAGTGAGGATCTTCCTGTGGCTTCCTGGTCGGCGGATCCTCGGAGGCGCAGGAAGAACCCCTGCAGGAAACGCCCTCTCTACGTTGACTTCTCCGCAATCAACTATGATGAGTGGATTGTAGCTCCACCTGGCTACGACGCCTATCAGTGCATGGGAAAGTGCTTCTTTCCGTTCCCCGATCACCTGAGCCCGACTAAACACGCGATCGTTCAGTCGTTGCTGCATGGAGCACTTCAGGGGGTGGAGGGAGGCAAAACTATTGGGAGGGTCTGCTGTGTGCCGACAAGACTGGCGCCAACCAGTCTTCTTTATTTGGATGCCAGTGGTACGCTGACTTATCAGTACGGGTACGAGGATATGGTGGTGGTTGAGTGCGGTTGCCGATAAGATTAAGGATTCATCATGTGTTTGTACTTATTTTTATTCTTTTTTTTATTAATAAACTATGGCATTCATCGAACAGAACAGAAACATCATTTCATTTGGATCATCAGTCGCGTCTTCAATTATTTGCTATATCATACAAAAATAACTAAACAAATGCCTTGAGCAGACTTTCAAGTAATGCTAGATCGAGTGACATTCAATTGAAAATGAGTAAATGGACAAAATTATCATTCTGATGAGCATGAAGGAGAATATCATCAATGGTTGGTTTTGTTTTTGCAGCTGATGTTCACGGATCTCTGAATCTCACATATCTATACATTTCACTGCATCACAATATTACACTATACACATGGAGCAATTGGAAAAAATAGTTCGGATAACGATAGAATTTCTTGAGTCTCTAGAAATAAGATGGATCACTAGCTAAACACCTTCGAGCACATTTCATTATTCTTCTTATTGAGCAAATATGATCTGGCCGGGGTCGGTACAACGACCCTTCTCGTCTTCCTGAGCCGATGCTTGCTCCCAGGTATCCTCTCGATTTTATAAATCTGATGTACGGCGGACACATCCGGCTGCATCAATCTCATGCAGAGGCTAACGGGTCCGGAGAAATCTACGTCTGTGGATAACTCCAATTTGGGTTCCAGGATCAAGGCGAATTCCGAATTACTCAGGACAAAATCGGACTTGATTCTGAAGCCACCCTTCACAGCAACCCCAGCGCCCATTTCGACGAGAGACTGGGCGTTTCTGGACCAGAGGGACAGCTGAATCTGGCCAGCGAGATCGAAGCTCACGGCCCCTTCAACGTCAATCTCCGCGATGAACCCAACACCCAATGGCACCAATTCCCTGTGTCGATGGAGGTTAGCAATCGTCTGGAACGCGGAGGTCCTCTCCGAAGCTGTTCCCGACCACACGTGTCCCATTAATTCACCCTGTCCCGAGAAGAAGACAAAGGGCCTGACTCCTACTCCGAGGATTCCGATCTCCATCCCCGCAGTGGCGACCTCCTCATCATCCGACTCCTCTTGAGAATTCGAAGACATGAAGCTGCTAAGGCCACCTGCGAACAGTCCCAGGGAGAAGAGTGCCTCCTCATGAGAACCCGTCTGCATGACGACATCAACAACTCCTCGTTTCAGCAGTCCAGAGTTGACCTCCTGAACAGTCACCAGAGATCCGTTACTCGCGGACGACGTCAGGAAGGGCCTGGTGAAGGCCGTACTGAGTCCGCGATGTGCCAGAACATTGTAGTTTTTGACTCTCCTAGCTTCTACTTCGATCGCGGAATTGAATTTTTCGCGGAAATTCAAGTTCTTTTCCGCGAGTTGTTCTAATCTCTGACTGAGGTACCTCCGGACTTCATACATGGAGTCAGTAGTAGTGAGGTACTCCAAAAACCCCCTGAGGTCCTCAACCGAAGGTTCACTCTCAAGGATGATGTCTGCGGCGAGGGTCCTAGCGCTGCTGTCCCTCTTAGGCCCTCCAATTTGGTAGAACGTCCTCTTAGCCGCGATTTTGAGATCCTCGGTCACGTATCTGGAGTCGAGAGCCCCCAGGGCTCGCCAGGCTGCAACACTCGTAGATTTCGTTCCGTTGATAGCGTAGGACATCAAGATTGGGAGAGAAGTCTTACTTCTGAGGTTCTTGAGGGCCCGCAGGAACTTCAGACGGCAATCATCACCCGTGCAGGTGTCCAACCCCAGTTCCAGGCTGACTCGAACCTTTTCCTTTATCGCGGGCGTCTCAAGTTGTCTCGCCATGGCGGCCGCGGTCAGCGCTAGTGTCTCAGATACCCGTTCGTTTTGGAGTGTCTCCTCAGAACGCTTGAGAACGTCTTTGATAATGTCTGGGTGAGGTACTGGGGACATTGACAATGCCCACAGATAACGCTCGCTGTCATCGCCAGTTTCATCCTGACGGAGGATCTTCATAGCTGCCTGGTGAGTGGCGGGAGTAGATGCTGATCCTAAAACGTCTAGCAGTTGGGTCTTCAGCTGGAGATACCGCGGACTCTTCAGGATTTTCGTGAGGTCGTCCGCGGGTGCGTCTCGCACCAGAGGAATGAGTTTCAAGAAGGCGGCAGCAGATTTCGCGGTTCCGAGGGCTGAATTCTCTAGGGCTTCTCGGTTCTGCTCGATGAGTTCTTCCAACTGAAAGGAATCACATTGAATGAGCGTCGATTAAACAACGACATACACTGCGATATGAAACAATACGATATTCTCAAAATTGTTGCCTTGACATTATCGATGTTCACATTATCGATTATCGCGGCATCTTTATAGATGAGAAATAAGATAGTGACGTACCGTTCGACAACCAGATTCGGGACAAGTGATCGGTTCCACCTGAAGATCGATCTCCACTTCCTTGTACCCGGGTTGCAGGTGAACAATGGCGTCCCTGACACTCCTGCCATCGATCCGCGAGGCTGATACTCTTCGCGTTTCTTGGAGGATCCTCTGAGTGGTGACCGTCGCGCCGACTTCCGGCTTCGCCTGAAGCGTCACCTCGTGGATTTCAGTCTCCTCGATCTTGATTGGTAAAAGTGAGGGGTCCAGCGTGTAGGCCGCGAACCTAGTGCTGTCCAAGCTGACTCCCAGGACGGGGTTAGGATGCTGATCCCGTTGCGAAAGACTGATCTCTTCGCAATGATCCTTGGATTTCGCGATCACGCGAGGACCGCGAGATTCGTAGGTGACGTTGCAGACTCCAGAGGCATCGCGTTCCCGATATTCTCCATCCGAGGTTCTGTATTGGAAGAGATTTACCAGTCCGCGTTTAAGGTTAGCGGAGGAGATCGTCTCGTCGGGGCTTAGGAATGTCTTCAGGATCTCTCCGTTCTGCCAGAGGAGGTAGATCGGGTGCTGTGGGATGTCATCAATCTTCGAGGAGTGCTCGACGAATCCTTCTGGCTCCGGGGCCTTCCGCGATTTGATGTACAGTTGAGGGGTAAGTAGCTAAAAATATTGAAATCGCGATATTTATGTTTTCATTTTCAACACCCGCGGGCCTTGAAAAAGTGGAATTATCGTACCGAGCGAGGATGGAAAAAATAAAGATAATTTGTGCAAGATTGAGTGAGTGGTAAAATAGTACAGTATATAGCGATGAGGTGATGACTAAGGACATAGAAAATATTTCGGGTTAATGTTGGAGGTAAGCAAGTCAGATGTGCAGGGGGTTACTCGTCAGAATGATAGTTCTTTCAAATTATGCAGTTATGTAAAACATTTAGCCGAATGAAAAATGAAATGCTTCACGGTCTCTCACAGCGTTATCGCGGAAGCGAAGGTTATCGAATCGAGTTCACTCGGGGGCCTGACCCTTCGCATCGTCATCAGATAGCACAGTACCACGTCAACGTTTACTCAGGACTAACAGCAGAAATTTATGATAAGCATTCTGAACACATTTGGTGTATGAATGCGGGGGGAAAATACACTGTCGATAATTTTTTCCTCAACTAAATGAATTATGGTAGGCAGTTGCATTTTAGTGTTGGGAATAATTCTCAGAACAATTGGGGATAATGAAGTCGAGTCAGATGATTGATTCAGATGAGTCAATGATTTATTCTTCTGACTATAATTTAAATACCTTAATTTCGAGAAGTAGCACATCAAAATCCTCAGGATCATTCCAAACAGCAGTGACACTCAAGTCAGCAGTGAATTGAAATCCAACATCACCACCCGACTTTGGTGCACCAGACTCTCTCGATAGGACAATTGTTGTCAGATGATATTCAATTCCATTACCAACAGTCCATCCTCTTGACGCCCCCACCGCGGCTGCAATCACCAGAATCCATGTCCACTTTGAATACCACATTATTACGTTGCAAGATAGAGAGCGTTGATTTTTAACGGTGAATGTTGAGGATTTGGAGGGGAATTTCCGGGGCTCACTGTGAGCCTGAAAATTTTTTCAATGGAATAACAACGGCCGATGGCCGGCACTCGACTGACAGTACTGGGGTCCCAAAACCCGGCGCACAACTTGCTCTATCTGTGTGGGACACGATACTTGTGTTGATAGACATCACGATGAGTTGGACAATTTGTGGTTGTGTGTGTGGATGAGGGAGGGGATCTACCGTGCGTGAGGGAAACCGTTAATCGGTTAAACTACGTCCGTTTGAGGTTTGTTATTCTTCTGTATTTGAGTTCAACGGTCAAAATTTATTGTTTCAAAATATCAAAGTGATAATGATTACAAAAATATAGGAATTGTTCTTTTTTAAAATTATTTTTGGCAAAAATTCCTGGGAATTTTCTATTTTCTTCGAAATTCTTCAAAATTCTATATATTTTATGCAGCTTTCTTCAGTAGTAAAAAACGATAAGAAATCAATCTTTAATATGGACTTTTAATAGTTGATTAAAATGTATAAGAAGTTTTCGTCGAGGTTTGTTGTGCTTCTGTACTTGAGGTTAACGGTCAAAATTTATTGTTTCAAAATATCAGAGTGATGATAATTATAAAGTTATCGTGATTGTTTAATTTTTTTTTCTTGAAAAATTTCTGGGAATTTCCAGTTTTCTTGAAAATTCACTACATTTTTCGCGGGATTTTCAACAATTTCATGTAACTTTCTTCATTATTAAAACCGATAATGGATAGATCTTTAATATGGATTTTTAATAATTGATTAAAATGTATAAAAAATTTTCGTTGAGGTTTGTGTTCTTCAATATTTCAGTTCAACTGTCAAAATTTATTGTTTCAAAATATCAGAGTGATAATAATTATAAAGTTATCGTGATTGTTTATTTTATTTTTTTAAATTCCCGGGGATTTCCAATTTTCTTCAAAATTTCATACATTTTTCGCGGGATTTTCAATAATTTTATGTAACTTTCTTCATTATTGAACAACGATCATGAATAGATCGCTTTAATATGGATTTTTAACAGTTGATTAGAATCCATAAAAAATTTTCGTTAAGGTTTGTTGTTCTTCAATATTTCAGTTCAACCGTCAAAAGTTGTTGTTTCAAAATATCAAAGTGATGATAATTATAAAGTTATCGTGATTGTTGAATTTTTTTTTCTTAAAAAATTCCTGGAAATTTTCATTTTCATCCAAATTTCATACGTTTTTCGCGGAATTTTCAACAATTTTATGTAACTTTCTTCATTATTAAAAGAAGATAGTGGATAAATCTCTAATATGGATTTTTAACGCTTGATTAAAATCCTTAAAAAAAATTCTTATTCAATTCCTGTGAAATTGAGATGATTAAATAATCAAGTTTTGAAGACTCAATTACGCAGAAAAAAAACTCACTACTTCCGTGTTGAATAAATACCGAAGAGGTAGGTTATTATCTTTATCACACACGTGACAGAAGTGCGTTAAAATGCCTCATCCATCCTCGCATTCTTCATTGACAGTTTTGAGTCAATTTTCATGAGCATTAGTCATCGCTTACGTTTCAAGCGGAAACTTGAAAGTTCGCGATGTATTTACGAAGTGTATTAACTGCTTATCAATTACCTGGCGCCGATTGACACGTGGGACCTGAAAAAAAATTAAATCAACAATTCATCTTTTGAAAGTTTGAAAAAAAACACAAGTTAATTTTTTTTGTTTGAACGAAAAAAAAAGATCTTTTCTTCGTTCTGCCTTTTATGGAACGTCTACTTATGTTCCATTACCCCCATGTTTATAATGATGTTCATCCGGTGAAGAAATCAATCACAAAGCAGTAAAACAGTCGAACTAAATTGTTACTATTGTCTGGTTTTCTGTAAATATCTCGGAAACTAAGAGAGATAGCAAAATTTTCATTATGACATTTTTTGTAGTCCCCAATTCGCTCTACAAAAAAGGTCTATATGAAAATTTCGTCACCTCCCTTAGATTCGGAGATAGACTCGATAACTTAGCCAACCGCGAAGTCGACTCGAACCGTTCTACCGCTCCACCACTGAACTTGTAAAAAAAAACTCCCATTTCGAATCTATTTTGAAATGTTTGTTTTCATTCCAAAAATACGGAGATAACAAGAAGAACAAACAAACACTCGCATAAATTAACGCGGAAGGCATCAGGAAGCGAATTTAATTTTTATGAGTGTTGATTTTTTATTCAATGGAAAAATTGAGCGGAGGTGAAGCAATTGATCGGGAGATGATTATTGTTTCAACATACCCAATAGGACGAATGAACAGACGATGACAGTGAGGACAGTCTCTCCTGGCATCCTTCCACGTTGAAGTACCGCGAGGACTGCGCCAAGTTCTCTACAAACCGACGTTTATCTTCACTACACTTTACTGTACTGACTATGAAACATTAATAATTAAACGACTCATGTCGACTTGTGTCTTATCAGAATTTTTTTCCCACTTTTCTTCACTGGTATAGCTACACTAGTTTTCAGGGAACTCTGACGTTTATGATCATTGCTGCGATAATTTTGGTAATTATTATATTATTATTATTATTATTATTATAGATAATTTTGATGGTTCCATTGAAAAAAAAGGAAATTAGAACGAAATAAATTAAATATTTGAACTTTCCAAAATTATTTTTTTTTATCATCAATTCTCTGTTTTTTTAGATTATAATATTAATTTTTTGTGAACAACTTTTCAACAATAATTTATTTATATTCAATTGGCTGAATTAGTTTGTAAAAAAACTATAATTGAGATTTTTTGTATTTATGCTGTCACCGGAAGCAGCGGATTATTTTATAAAATATGGTATGTAGTTGGAGATAAGTAAGAGGATCGTTGAACCATGAAAAATAAAAGGGAAAAAGCATTAGGACCTGTTTTCTCGCTGCCCAGTTAATCCCGAAGAGGTGACCCAGAGCTAGTAACTGGAATACGGAAGTACTTCATTCCACGACGTTCGAAATATTCTTGTTTTAATTTTTTTTTCACGACTCCGAAGGTCAGGCTCACAGTGTATCAGGGACAAGTCGGATTATTATTACCGGCTTGTGGTCACGGCTTCTAGGATTCTAGAATTACCGACTCCTGCGGTTTTGCGGTTTTCATCTCAATTTTATTTTATTCTTTACGTCGTGTTAATAATTATTCTCCGGCCGGAGGAATAATTCTATTGATAATATTCTCGATCATTCGCATCGTCAAAATTTTAATTAAAAAAATAAATAAATAAAAGGAAGTGTAAACGATAGGAACTATTAAAAAATAATTTTTGTTGACAATTCTTAATTTCGTAAAATTGTTACTGAAAAAAAATGAGTTTTTGGAACTAAAAAATGTTAACAATCCTCTTTTTCAGAAGAATTTGCTCTACCGGCGGTGGATAAAATAGATGATTCCAAAATCAAAATGAATAAAAAAATCTCGAATATTTTGGACCAAAAAATATAATTAAAATTGTTTCTTCCTCTCGATCTTTATGTTCAATGTAATTTTTTCATGATTTAGTAAAAAAAAGTATTTAAATCTGGAGCAAATCACCGCACAAATTGATAAATTATTAACTACTGACTTGTTCAACTCGAGAGAATCTACTGCCCTTGGCAGATATAATTTTCTTGAAATTTAAATTACGAATTTCGAAACTGATTCGTTCAACTTGAAAAATATACTTACCGACAGAGGATACCCTCCCCTAGGTCCGAAAATACGCCCAAATAATTCACTCGCGAAAATTCCGAAAGTGACCAGACTCTCTCATTGAAAATTGAGCCTGCCTGCGCACTTTGACGCACAAGAAACAAAGCAATCACTGAACTCTCTAGGTCGCTGCTGATTGAGTCTATCTAGGAGAAGAGTGAGGGAAACTGAAAGCTTCCGTTCTTATCGCCAGTCTTTGCCCCTCGGTGAGCAAGTGTGACCCCCAGGGGTCAATCACGACAAGAGAAAAAAACTTATTGTTTTGTTTATCGAACATTCCATCGTATTGTATTGACTCATGCTTACAAATTTAATAAATCATAAATTCTCTATTTTTTTCTTGCGGTCAAGTCATCGCGTCAAGTACAAGTTCCGCACAAATTATTTTTAGACCACCGGTAGAAAGCGTGGCTGACACAGGAGATGGAGAACCTTCGTGAACCTTTTCAGGATCTCCACGAGCAGAGATGAAAGAAACAATCTCAGAAAAAGTCTTAATAAATTTTTTTTCGGAGCGCGGCCAATCTATCGCGTCAAGTAGATGATTCGCAATATATTTTTCTCCAACATAAAAATTGGACAGATAACATCACCTTCTTAATCAGAAATAAATCAGTCAATCTTGAAGTAATTTCAAATAATTTTATTCTCGAGTGGCGGTCAAGTCAGCGCGCCAAGTACTAGGCCCGCATAAATTATTTTTAGACGACCGCTAGGAAGTGTAGCTGACACAGGAGATGAAGAACCCTTGTGAACCTTTTCAGGATCTCCACAAGCAGAGATGGAAGAAATAAACCCAAGAAAATTCTTAATAAGTTTTTTCTCGGAGCGCGGTCAACCCATCGCGCCAAGTAACTGATTCGCGATATATTTTTCTTCAACATAAAAATTGGACAAATAACATCACCTTTTTAATCAGGCCTGAATAAGTCAAACTTGAAGAAATTTCAACTCTTTTTATTCTCGAGTGGCGGTCAAGTCATTGCGCTAAGTACTAAGTTTGCAATCTATTAATTTTGACATTCGAAGGTATCAAAATAGAAAGATGAATTAGTATCCATTAGGTACTGGACACTGTCAATACCTCACGCATCAACAGTTTTCCGCTCTCCGTCAATCTCGACTAAAAAAGCAAATTGAATTTCGCAATTTGCAAAAAAATTTCGTTATCCCAGAATAAACCACAATTTGCTAGTATATCAGTTTTTTTTGCACACCGGATGGTTTCGGGACTGTTCGAATTGAATCAAGCGATCTTCTTGTCATACGGGCGGACGGAAGCAATTGCCGCTTGCTGAGTGACACTCTACAATATGCCACACGTTCCTCCGGTGGAAAACTGTCACTTGTCGCAAACTTGATAATTTGCAATGTCAATTTACATGAAAAGCCATTCATTTATCTACAAATTTAATCAATCAATTCGGGTATTAATAATTTCTTCAACTCAGATGCATGATGTCAGACGCATAACCTAACCGAATAATTACGAAAAAAAATTTTGGTTAGAAAATGTGCAACAACCTTTGAATCTAACCCCAAAGAAAGTAATCCTGACCTCTCTGCACTTGAAAATTTAACCTCTTCGCAGACTTGTAATGCAATGTCAATTTATATAAAAAGCTATTCATTTATCTACAAATTTAATCAATCAATTCGTGTATTAATAATTTCTTGAACTCAGATACATGATGTCAGATGCATAACCTAACCGAAAAACCTAAAAATGATTTTAAAAAATTATAGGTAAGAAAATGCGAAGTAACCTCTGAACCTAACCCGAAAAACGAAATCCTAACCTCTCCACACTTAAAAATCTTCTGCTTAAGAACCATTCCAATCTTTCCCATCATCCCTGAGGTTTCCAATTCTCTCAATACAATCCATCTAAATTCATCAACCTCTCTCCAAATCCTTTGTCTCCTCATCAACCTCCCATCTCCCAAAATAATTACTCCCCCCTCCCCTCGAACCATTCGTACATCCACCAGGCATATTTATCGCTGTTGTTTGGTAGCTTGTTGCAGCAATAACGGTAATGGCCGGCCACTTGGTACCCCCTCCCCCCCGCCTATCCACCTCGGACGATTTATCCTCTGGTAATTACACCTCGTAATAATTAATGCCGTCGTGCATTGTACTAATTATCATCAGTGGAAAAACCTTTTAAGAAATGAAAGAACAGTTTTTGAAATAAAACAAAAGCTTCAGAGAGGTTTTCCTTCTTTTTTTTTTTATTTTAAAATTCCAAATCTCTTTTTTTACACTTTCTTTTATCCAACTCCCTCCCTTCCCCTCGCGAATGAATGAATGGTACAGAGAGGGGTGACTTGTTTGAGTATCCGAAAGTGCATACATATCTGGACGCAGTAGTGAACTGGCAAGAAATTAAAAAGAAATAAAGAACGTTAACGAGACGAGATGCTGAAGACTGTGTTTGGGTTTATGAGTGGGAGGGGGGGAGGAAGGGAGTGACGGTTACCAACGACATTCAGTCTCGGACCAAGCAGCTATCCATCAGGGTGCTTTTGTCGCCCTAATGAGAGCTTTAATTATTCAGCCCAAAGTATCCACCCCTTTATCACTCTTTCTCGCTTGCACGATGGTCACGCGACATCCGCCATCTTGCTTGGAGACGCTCGCACTCTTCCGCCTCGGTTCTTTCTACTCCTGGGGAGTGAAACCACCTTTATGCTTGATGATTATTCGGTATTGAAGTTGAAGAGTTGAATTGAACCTAAAAAGGTGAGCTTTTATACTGATTTTTGTGGAGGAAAAGTTTTGCGGCGAATGATGAGAGATTTACGTGGTAGAAGTGAGGTTAAGGGAGTCAGTCGGGTGGGGGAATCCGGGGGGATCATTTTGAGGGCTTCAGAAGTTGTGAGGGACATTTTTCGGAGAATTTGTTTTTTCAATATTTCAGGAAGACTTTTTAAGTGCTGACATTTGGTTAGGATATTGAAGGGCTTTTCTTAGGAAAATTCTTCAATTTTCCCTAGGAAAATATGTCCTGAATAGGGGATTTTTAAGTCAATTGCTGATAAGTCCGATAGAACAGGACAATTTTTCATTTCTCTTGTGCACGTTGGTCCCGCGTCATCGGCCATCTTGCTTGGAGGCGCTCGCGCTCTTCCGCCTCGATTCTTTCTACTCCTGGGGAGTGAAACCACTTTTATGCTTGCTGATTATTCGGTATTGAAGTTAGAGAGTTGAATTGAGACTAAAGATAGGTGAGCTTTTATGCTGGTTTTTGTGGATGAAAACATTTGCGGCGAATGATGAGAGATTTTCGTGGTGGAAGTGAGGTTAAAGGAGTCATTCAGGTGGGGGAATCCGTGGGGTTCATTTTGAGGGTTTCAGAAGTTGCGAGGGACATGTTTCGAAGAATTTGTTTTTCAAATATTTTAGGTAAAAATTTTCAGTGCTGAAATTCTATTAGAATATTGAACGACTTTTCCTGGAAAAATTTTTCCTAGGAAAATATGTTCTGAATAGGGGATTTTATGTCAATTGCTGATAAGTCGGATAGAATTGGACAATTTGTTATGATTTTCGTGAATAAAAAGATTTGGGTCAAATGATGAATTTTTTT